TGTGTCCTGTTGATGTAAAACTATCCAGTACACATGCTAAAGTCACATTGTTGCTAAAAAAAGAAGAGGAGAAGGGGGGACGGGGCCAATTCTAGGGGATCTGACTCCTGGTCCCTGTGGGCATCGACACTCATAGATACTTACTTACATACTATGTATACTTTTTAAAATGCAATAAAAGAAATCTTAAGAAAAAACTGCCTTGTAGTTTATATTTCCAGCTGAAAGGTGATTGAAATGCAGAGATAGCATTGAGCTAGCTGCCTGCTGATGCCTACTTTCACCAGAAGCATAGGAGACATCAAGAAATAGTTGGAAGAAAATGTTTGGGAGGGCACTCCTAGGGCAATATACAAATGTTAGGTTTTACTTTAAAGAAGAAAAGAAAATAGTTAAAGTTTGATTGGTTGAAAAACTAGGCAAAGCCAGGCAATGGTGGTGCACGCTGTTAATCCTAGCACTCAGTAGTCAGAAGCAGGTAGATCTCTGTGAGTTTGAGGCCAGCCTGGTCTACAAAATGAGTCCAGGACAGTCAAAGTTACACAGAGAAACCCTGTCTCTACCCCCATCCCCCCCAAAAAAAGAGAAAAAAAAAAAAAAAAAGACTAGGCTAAAAGCCTTTTTTTGTTTGATTTTTTTTTTTTTTTTTTGAGACAGGGTTTTTCTGTTTAGCCCTGGCTATCCTGCAACTCTCTTTGTAGACAAGGCTGGCTTCAAACTCATAGAGATCTGTTGGTCTCTGACTCCTCAGTACTGGGAGTAAAGGCAAGCACCATCATGCTTGGCCTAAGCCAATGATTTTTGCAGAAATTAACTTGTAATGGTCACTGGTCACTTTTCACAGAACCATGTGACATTCTGGGGTGCAGACTGCCCTCAAGATGTATGATGGAGACTGACCCAAAACCAGAATAGAGTTCAGAGTTCAGTGAAGGCTATGGTTAGTGTCAGATCAGTTCTTTGTAGAGAACCCTGAAGCCCTTCTATGAGGCACCTGTGTATCTGGTGTGTACCACACGGACATTGGAGCCTAAGCAAAGAAACAGTCTTTACTGCCAAGGAGCCAATCTGTTTGTTTGCTCTAGTGAAGGCAGGAACATGTGTTTCTCTTTGGATATTGCTGACATGGAAGGGCCTTTGGCACTTCTAGGGGAAATACAGCAGGTGTCAGTTGGATATGTGATTCTAGGGCCCAGGAGAGAGGCCATGCAAAGGGATTGAATATAGCTGAGGTCTGTGAGGCAATTGGCATGATTGTTGTCTGAGAAAGAAGAGAGTCAGGCCTCACCTTGAACAGCAAGATGAGGAGAAGCTTGGAAGAGACTGCTGTGCAGGAAGAAGCGCCAGGACCAGTTCCTTAGTGTACTTACCTGGCTAGGACTGTGGGCAGAGACGGATGTCTTCCCACATGTGCATTCATGATTATTGCACTGTCTGGTTCTCCTCAAGTCTTTTTTCACAAAGGTGTCTCGTTTAAAGTGATTAGGTGTGAAAAGAACTTGTGATGGAGGTTTTTCTTTTTTTCCCTCAAATCTGATTTCATGTTGTATTAGTGTTCTTCAGTTATCTGTGACATACTTGTTTCAAAACAGTCACTTTCTCAGTCATTGTTGATAGCTGGGCTGGGAGGGCTTCTTCTCCCTTCCAGTCCATCTCAGTAGTGGACTGCCTTCCAGTGGGCACGGTAGTTGGAAAGAGTTCATAGTGGGCTCTTGGAGGTAGTGTTTTGTTCTATCTTGCTTTGGTATGGATTTTAAATAGCAGTCACTCATTAAATTGCCAGTCTTATATTTTAAAGACTGATATGCCTGTTCTCCTAGCTGTTTTCTGTTCTTTCTCTAAAATAGAAGCTGAGTGTCACTAAATGCAGAGGCGTGTTCTGCCTTTTGCAGACACGTTGCTGAGCTTCATGCACAGTAACTGATTATGGGGAGACACATGTTGATACACAAAGTTCCCATCCTTCAGATTTCAGCTTGGGCTGCCAGAGCAAAGCCCTGTGAATCGGTTGGCTGAACAGACAACAATTCCTCATATTTCTGGAGGCTGAGGAGGTCAAAATGAAGGTGTCAGCAGTTTGACTACTGGTAAGGACCCCTTTCGGCTTGCAGGTGGCTGACACTATGTACCACATTGCCTCTCTGTGATGCTTGCAGGTAGAAATGGAGAAAATATAATTTGCATCTCTTTTCCTTCTAGAAGGGTGCTAATCCCACCGTGAGAGTAACATTCTTGTGACATTACCTAGACTTAACCTCCTCCTATAGGCTTCAGTTCAAATTGCTATCAGCATATGTAGATAGAGTCAGTCGGTTGACATCCGTGTCCTCATAAGGGGGCCAGACAGTCACATGGCAAAGAAGGTGCCACTGAGACTACTAGGGCCATCCCATAACAGTAAGCACGCTTAGACTTTTTCAGGATTGACATATATTAGTCATGAGTACTTTTGAAGAATTGCCATCATCTGCACGAGTTGTTTTCATTAGTAAAGTCTTATGTGCCAAAATATCCCTTCGCTTTGCATGAAGGCACATGAGAATATTGGAGGCAAAAAGAAAAACATGCTCCATGGAAACCGTCCATACCATTAGCATTGTTTGGGATCCCCACACCTTTTTTCTTTGGAAACCTGTCTGTTGAAAGTGTAAGAAAACATGTTCTGTGCTTTTTGTTGCAAACTTTGATTGAGTAGCTTAAATCGCTGCCTGTTTCAGGTAGAATTCAGCAGGTCTCATCTATGTTCTTGCTTTCCATCTTTGTGCCTGTGTTGCTTGAATACCCTGTAGACACGCCATCAGATGTTGGGTTTTTCGGTTGGCAGCCAAGATAAATTTCTCTCTTCGTCATAGTTCTGTCTGTGTTTATCTTTAATACACTGATGAATTCATCATTCCTCCTGGGGGATGTTTTTTCATTCAATTATAGATGATGAATTTAAAATTTTTTATTTATGTTTATTTTATGTGCATTGATGCTTTGCCTACATGTCTGTGTAAGGGTGTCAGACCCTGGAGTTGCAGACAGTTGTGAGCTGCCTGTAGGTACTGGGAATTGAACTCAGGTCCTCTAGAAGAACAGTCAGTGCCCTTAACTCCTGAGGCATCTTTCCAGCCCTTACTCAAGAAAATGTTTAAAGGAATATTTGGCATGATGGCACATGCCTGTTGTCACAGAACTGGAAAGTGTGGCAACAGACTCACAAGTTTGAATTTAACCTGGGCTATATAAACCCTGTCTCAAAAACAACAGCAAAACACTATTTAATGAATGATTGGTTTATTGTAAAAAAAAAAAAAAACAGCCATATAAATTCCATAAGCTTGTTGCTTCTTAAGGAAAAAATGTATCCTCCCTTGTAGTCAGTCATTCATCCATATGTCTTAAAATTACCGCTGTCCTTAATTTTAATTAATTCATTTCATAAAAAAATATTCACCACTGTATACCCAGAGCTCTCTGAGATGCCAGGGATATAACTGCAGAGTCAGCTGCAGAGGTGCGTGTCACAGTATCTCAAGAGCAAAAGGGTCCCATGTTAAAAAAGCTCTGCGTATATGTGAATCCTAGCCCTTGTAGTCAGATATCCCTGGTTTGACTATTTCGTGGCTTCATTAGGTTATGTGGTTTCCCTTAAGCTGTTTGTGTCTGGGAAATACAGATGCTGAGTGGCATGCTGTCACAGCAAGAAGTGGATGTCAATCATAAAAATCTCTCAATCCTTTAGGCACAAAAATACAAAGTCTTTAACAGTATCAGATGCAAGATCCCTAGAGACTGTCACAAAGCAGGTGGTAACACTCACCATCTTTCCCAGGACCCAAGGCTCTTCTGTGATGTTCAGCTGGTGGCAAATTTATGTCTAGCATTGTTTCTAGCAACCATGGCACGCCCCATGCTATTCTCAGTGAGGAGCTGACACCCACAGAATCTTCCCTGAGAGTTTGCCAGCTCTGATGTGTGCCTGCCTACACCCTTTGCTTCCCACACGTAGTTAGTGTACTCTGGGATCTGGGGAATCGAAGAAAACCTCTCAGGAGTAGTCCTATGTATACTGAGATGACAGGCTCCTCTGAGATTCATTCCAGCGTGGCCAGCAGTTCTTGATTGTGATAAAGGATTTAACATCATCTTAGTACCAAAGTAAGCATTCAGTGAGTATGTTAACCCGTCCACACAGCACTGCACACATTTGTTAACTGACTAATGTCATTATCTGTGAGAAAATTCTAAACATTAAAACCTTCCTCGGGGAAACTTAAACATGTATGAGAATATATTAATGAAACCCATTATTTTATAAGTCATCTAAACTTTTTCATTAAAAAGTTACTTTAGGAACATCTTATTTTCCGAATATGACAAGATAACATGCTTAACATGATCAAATGTATTTTCTCATTGCTCAGGCATAAACATTTCTTGTAAATTACAAAGAATTATAATAATGAATTTCTACTGCATCTTTATTTTCCAGAAAAATGAATATCTTTTGTTAGCCCCTTTTAGCCTGAAGACAAAAGAAACAAAAACAGTAAAGTAGGGTTTTCTGGTATTTGAGAATATATGAATAGCATAATGTATTCATTATTCGCTAGTCACATTTCAGCATGAGGTAGGAAGATCCACCCACTATTGCATTACTCTTGATTGTGACCCTGGACAGTGTAAGTGGGGGAAATGAGCTGACATGCACATGTGTATTCATTGTTCTCCGTTTCTGGAGAGAACAATTATGGAGACAGTGTGGCCAGCTCCTCAAGCCCCTGCCACTGTGACTTCTACACTGTGGGACACTGTAACCTGCAACTGAGACCTTTTGAAGTTGGTTTTGTAGGGTATTTTATCACAGCAACTTAAAAGAAACCAAGCCAGTTGTCCTGTCACCCTCAGTTTTCATTGGGTTTTCTTTTTAGTTATGCATGTATTTTGTCCTCCTAAAACAAATTAAGGTTGCGATTTACTCCTACTTGTTCAAGGGTCCTACTCTTTGGTTGCAGGTGTTGTTTGGCACAGCAGATGGGCAGGTGATCGTCATGGACTGCCATGGCAGAATGCTAGCCCATGTCCTCCTGCATGAATCTGATGGCATCCTGAGCATGTCCTGGAATTACCCCATCTTTCTGGTGGAGGACAGCAGTGAGAGCGACACAGACTCAGATGACTATTCTCCTCCTCAAGGTAACCTCCTTGTTGGCCTGTACTTTTTTACAGTTTATTCACTTTGTATCCCCCCTGTACCTCCCTCCCTACTCCCCTCTCAATCCCACCCTCCCACTTCCCCACCCGTGTCCCTCTCCCAGTCCCCTGAAAAGGAAGGTCCTCCTCCCCTTCCCTCTGTTCCTAGTCTATCAAGTCTCATCAGGAGTGGCTGCATTGTCTTCCTCTGTGGCCTGGTAAGGCTGCTTCCCCCTCAGGGGGAGGTGATCAAAGAGCAGGCCAATCAGTTCATGTCAGAGACAGTCCCTCTTCCCATTACTATGGAGGCCACTTGGACACTGAACTGCCATAGGCTACATCTGTGCAGGGGTTCCAGGCCATCTCCACGAGTGGTCCTTGGCTGGAGTATCAGTTGTAGAGAAGACCCCTGTGCCCAGAATTTTAGGATATGTCGCTGTCCTTGTGGAACTCCTGTCCTCTCCAGGTCTTACTATCTCCCACTCTTTCATAAGATTCCATGCACTCTGCCCAAAGATTGGCTGTAAGTCTCAGCATCTGCCTTGATACCCTGCAGGGTAGAGCCTTTCAGAGGCCCTCTGTGGTAGGCTCCTGTCCTGTTCCCTGTTTTCTCCCTCCTCCGATGTCTATCCTCTTTGCCTTTCTGAATGGGGATTGAGCATCTTAGTCAGACTCGTACTTCCTGATTAGCTTCCTTAGGTGTACAGATTTTAGTATGTTTATCCTATATTATATGTCTAATATCTACTTATGAGTGAGTATATACCCCGTGTGCCTTTCTGCTTCTGGGATGCCTCACTCTGGATGATCTTTTCCAGTTCCCACCGTTTACCTGTAAATTTCATGATTTCTTTGTTTTTTTTTTATCACTGAGTAATATTGCATTGTATAGATGTACCACAATTTCTGTATCCATTCCTCAACTGAGGGGCATCTGGGCCGTTTCCAGCTTCTGGCCTATACTTCTGTTGCATGTAGAAGAGAGAACATTTTGAAAGAGAGTGACGTCACTTGATAGCACCTTACACACACTATCTAAGTCACTGGAGAGGCTCTTAGGCTAACATGCAGCAGAACTGGCTTCTCTCTTTGATGAGTCTTCCCTGCTACCCTCCTCTCACTATCCTGGCTGAGGTGCTTGTGTTCCACATGCTCAGGTTTTTCTAGATAATAAAATGAGACTTATGCCTCCTCCTGTCCTTGGGGTTTTGTGAGACTTAGCTGCTTAGCAGGAATAAGTTTTCGTTGCACATGAAAAACTGTTTACTATTAACAAGTTATTTAGTATGTGGTATGACCAAATCCCTAGGGGTTTTAAAGCTGGTGGGTTAGCTTCAGTTGTGTAAAAGAAAGATTCATTCTGCCATTCCAGAAAGCATTAACTGAAGGTCAGTAGGTCTTAGGAGAAGTGTGTACAACACCCACAAATCCATTGGGGAGGTAACTGTCCCATCCTGATGGGACACATTCTTGATAAAAGTGTTTGTCGTATTTCAGCAGCTTCAGAATAGAAATGTCAGTTTCTATAAAACGTGGATAGCTTGTCTTCAAACGGAAATCCTGTCTAGTAAGTAGGATCCCAGATTTACTCATCATTATTTTCTTAGAGGAGGAAATAGGATGCAAAGAGCAAGGTTACAAAATGAGTCTAACATTGATCTGAGGCAGGAGTGTGCCTAACGCTTCTCTAACCGAGGTGCACTTCTTCGAAGCAGTGGGTGCCTTAGGGGTAGCGCGCATTTGCCTTTTAGAAGTAGCAGTATTTGAGTGCAGCAGTGCTATGAGGCACTGGCTTAGAGTGGAGAAAGGGATGTAGTCTGGGGTTCCCCAACCTGTGAATGTGTGGGGCACCCTGACCAGCCACTGGAGATGAGTTCAATGCGACTAAGACACCTACAGAAGCTTCTGAGAGTTCTGACTAGCCAGGTGTTCAGAGAGGTTTTTACTTGAATAGCTTTTAATGCATTTATTTTATATGTATGGATGTTTTATCTGCATCTGTGTCTGTGTACCACATGCATTCGCTGCCCACAGAAGCCAAAAGAGAGCATCAGATTCCTGGTACTGGAGTTACAAAAATGGTTGTAAGCGTCCATGTAGGTTCTGGGAATCAAACCCAGGTCTTGTGGAAGAACAGTGAGTGCTCTTAACCACTGAGCAGCCCTACATTTACTTTCTCAAGTAATGTGTGGATGAGCCAGTTTGTGCCTGCAACAAGACCATTCCTAGAACTTCCCAAACAGTTCCCTTGCTGGTCAGATCATCCACACACGGTAAATATTTATGAATCATATCTGGGCTCTGTTCTCTCTGTAAATTTGCTCTCTCCTGTGGTAAAAACCTTAAGGAACTAATACTGCCTGCTTATTGCCTCTGACATTCAGGGAAGCTTATTACTCTGTGCATTAGACCACATTTTTTATCCCTTTCCCACCATTCTTTATGTTATACAACATTTAAGTAATTTATACTTGATATCAAAAGAAACACATAATACGTTAACATGGGTTAATAAACTTACACATGTTCTCAGTCAGTTACCTCTGGGTCTGCATATTCTGCATCCTATTTTTCATTCCAGCTTCCAATGCTGGTGCCCACAGTGTGACCCCCGAGTGCTGCAGTTCTTGCTTCACTTGGTGGCATCCCAGGTAGAGTGTGATCGGTATTATTAGACAACTTTTAGGATATTGTGTTGGTTTGGATGAGAATAGCCCCCATAGGCACTTACGTTTGAATACTAGATCCCCAGTTGATGGAACTATTTGGGAAGGATTAAGAGGTGTGGCCTTGGAGAAGGTATGTTACTGGGTATGGAATTTCAGGTTTCAGAAAGCCCACTCCTTTCCCAGTGAGCTGTCTCTGCCTCTTACTTATGCATTAAGGATGCAAGCTCTCAACACCTGCCTGCCTGCTTGCTAACTCTAACCCTCTGCAACTGTAAGCCTCAAATTAAATGGTTTTTTTTATACATTGTATTAGTCATGGTATTTTCTCATTGCAATAGAAAAGTAATTGATTTCCTTGTTTTTAGTAGCTGAGTAGTATTTCATTGTGTAAATGTACCACAATATCCGTATCCATTCTTCAGTTGAGGAACATCTAGGTTGTTTCCAGATTCTGACTATTACGAATAAAGCTGCTAGTTGAGCATATGTCCTTGTTGTATGGTGGAACATCTTTCCGGTATATGACCAGGAATGGCATAGCTGGGTCTTGAGGGAGGGCTGTTCCCAGTTTTCTGAGAAAGTGCCAGATTGATTTCCAAAGTGGTTGTACAAGTTTATACTCCCACCAGCAATGGAGGAGGGTTAGCCTTCCTCCACATCCTCGCTAGCATATGTTGTTGCTTGAGGTTTTGATTAGCCATTCTGATGGGTATAAGATGGAATCTCAGAGTTGTTTTCATTTGCATTTTCCTGATGACTAAGGACTTTGAGCATTTCTTTAAGTGTTTCTCCGTTTGATATTCCTCTGTTGAGAATTTTCTGTTTAGCTCTGTACCCCACTCCCATTCAGCAGGGGATCAAAGCAGATGCTGAAACTCACAGCCAGACTTTGGACAGAGTGCAGGGAGTCTTATGGCAGAAGGGATGGGATGGGGTAGGGAGGGATAGAAGGACTCAGAGTACAGGAGCTCCACAAAGAGACTAGCAAAGCCAAAAATCTGGGCCCAGGGGGACCTGCTGAGACTGATACATCAAGTAAGGACCATGCATGGAAAGGACCTAGACCCCTTGCTCAGACGTAGCCCATAGGCAGTTCAGTCTCTTAAGTGAGTTCCCTAGTAAGGCCAACAGGGCAGTCTCTGACATGAACTCGGTTGCCTGCTCTTTGACCACTTCCCCGTGGTGGGTGGCCCTACCAAGCCACAGAGGACAAGGATCCAGACAGACCTGATGAGACTAATAGACTAGATAGTAGGGGAGGAGGACTCCCCCTTTTCAGTTGACTAGGGAAGGGAGAGGGGGAAAAAAGAGGAAGGATGGGACTGGGAGGCGATGAGGGAGGGGCCTGCAGTCAGGATACAAAGTGAATAAATTGTGAAAACTAGTAAAATAAAAATTAAAAAGAACAGTAGCCGAGTCAGCACCATGGAACAGTGCAGCCGTAGACGCCTGGATCAGGTTGTGTGCTCATTGCCTGCTTTTCACTTAGCCCTTGTGTTTCTACAGATGGCCCTGCAGCATACCCCATCCCTGTGCAGAACACCAAGCCTCTGCTCACCGTCAGCTTCACTTCGGGAGACATCAGCTTAATGAACAACTATGATGACTTGTCTCCCACTGTCATCCGATCGGGGCTGAAAGGTACAAAATGCACCATTCCCTAACCCCACAGGTGGGGCCCGTGCACACCTGCCCCCCGTGCACACCTCCCCACCTGGGTTGCTGCTCTACCTGTAGTGCCTGTTGGGCTTAGTGGAGTCACTTTGCTGAGCTCCTCCGTGCATCTTGACAAGTCCAGTAATCGGGGAATCTGGGTTTCTGATACCCAGTCTGCACCTTCGCCTTCTCCTTTCTCCATGCTGACAAGGATGGCCTGCTGTTGACTGTGTTTATATCTGACTGTCATTTCCTCAGATGGCAGCACCTGTCACTTCTGAGGCAGCAGATGGTACACAAGTTGTTCTTTTACACAGAAGCCCGTACAGTTTTGGCAAGCTTATTAAGGAACTGATCATCGTGCAGTAGAGTTACCTGGAAAGACCTGTGGAGGTTCCAGACTGTCATATACAGGAAGGGCAAGAAGGGCTGATACCTTCCTGTGAGGAAACATTTTCACAAGAGAAAAATTACTGGCCTTGATTTTTCTTTTAATAAACCTACTTTATTTAGAATCATTAAATGCTTTTAACTCCCTTCCAACCACCCCCCACAACACCAGGTAGGAGGGAAAGAAGGTTAGTGGGAATAGGGACGGAGTTCTCTGTTGTACTTTCTGCTAGGTAGAATCATGGGGTTCTGTTGGGGGCAAGTATCAAGTTCAAGATTACTAAAGACATAATGACCTTGGTAGACTTTTTGCAAAAAAATAGAAAAATCTTACTTCTTTAGGATTCACTGAGTCAAAGTTAAAAAAAAAAAATTAGATTGTAAGGCTAGTCTTTGATACCACAGGGACATACTGTCATCTGAATAGGGAGACAGACCAATTTTCTGTTCAGCTGGTTACTGTCTGAAGCTGGCCATCATGAAGAGCCATTGCCATGGCAGCAGCTGCTGGTTCTCTAGGCTCTCCAGGCACCACGGGGATGTGATGAGTCATGTCTGCACATCACACTTGGCAGCGTATAGTGCACCTACTAAGTCTGCTTTCACATTATAGCATATTCTTAAGCTGATTGTACTCATTCTGAGGTGTCCCATTGCCATTTCAGAACTGCATCTGTAAGGAATGAATGTCTGTAATCTCCCCTGGACAAAACCTATGCAAAGTCTTCATTCATGCCTAGAGAGTTCCTAGGGAGTTGCGTGTGTATTTTTCTGTTGCTGACACACTTAAATTCTTGTGCAACTTTGTTCATTTTTTTCTGAATGTTCTGTTTTCTGTTGAGTTAAAAATAGGACTGGCCATTTTAAATTCCTCCTTGGATCACCTAGTCTAAAGTTATATTTTTCTTCAAAAATTCTAGTTTTAAACTTTTAACCGTTGTTGCTGATTTCCTGTGATCTGCCTCTCATTGTAGAATCTTGAATTTTGTTCTCTCAGATATCTGGTTACAGTTCAAAACAATGTAATTACCATTCATTGCTGTTTATTCTTTACAGATTGTTTTAATTTTCTTTTACCACCTTGCTTATGTCTCTGCCTATTTTTTTTATTTATCTCTGTGTTATCTATCTATCTATCTATCTATCTATCTATCTATCTATCTATCTATCTATCTATCTATCTGTCTGCTCCTTGAATGTATTATTTGTTATGTCTATCAACACCTCTAATACTTTCTTATCAAGTGTGCATTATGGGAATAGGAAAACAATAAGTGAACCAAATTAGTCTTTAAATGTGCTGTGTTTTAACTCCATTTTTTAAAAATAAATTTTGTATTATAGTCATCACCTATGAGAATTCTAAATCTAATTTGCAATGTTTTCAGTTACTTGTGTTGTAGCTGGGGATAGTTGTATACTTGTGTGCTGTGCTGTCTCATCATGATTTTAGAACGTTAAGTTCACTTGAACTAGTGTCATCTACTAGTTAATCTATCTAATAGTAAAAATAGTAATATTTTTCCTATCTTGTCAGGATATTTGTTTCCGATCTGATATCAGAGTAGTTTAGATTCAGTCTTACATGTGGTATGAACAGCAACAATAGGTCTTATTTCTAAAATTTATTATTATTCTTTTCTTATGATTTGTGCTAGTAAATAATGGAAAGAAACAAGCACTGTGAGACCAAAGATGGCATAGTTATTACTTTATGACAATACTATGAGAAAAACTGGTGGACAGAGACACTGAGAATAGTCAGATTTTGCAGTTTAGGATTACCAAAGATGCTGTGTCCCTGATTCTTTGGGAAACAGTCTTGTCTCTTCAGGGTCTCATGAAAAGCTGAAGGGTCTCTGATCCCTTGGTCGTTCTGTACTGTCTCAGAGAACTTATCCAGGGGAGAAAGGTAACTTGTGATGCCTTTTATTACCAGCACGGTCACTCACGTCACGTGCAGCTATTCCCCAACCACCCCTGTCTTTATGACCAGCCTCTTCTGCATCACCTGTCCTGGTTAGTTTTCTGCTGTGATTCTGGAGGCAACAGAGATTGGTGTCTGCCTTGAGTAGTTCCACCTTGGGATGCAGCTGGCTGAGTAATTCACCTCAGACTTCTGCTTAGTGCACAAGGAGCAGGAGATGGGCTTTGGTGTGATTTTGTTGTTGTTATTTAAAAAATGCCTGAGTCATGAGTTCAGGTATTCTCTGACATTGGTGGTGGTAGCACATTTCTAGGTGGTGAAATTGGCTTCCAGAGACCTTCACATGGCTTCCCATAGGTATCAGGGAACAAAAGATGCCCCACCATCTTCCCAGGGTGCCCAGCGGTGTGTGTTTGTTTGTTTGCTTGTTTTTCATTTTGTAGACACTGCCTCCCTCCCCCACCCATCCACCCAGCACTCATAATGACTGACTGAGCTATTTCCTTGGGCCAAGAATTGCCCCTTTCATTCATCATTTCATTGAGTTCTCTGAGAATCAAGATGTTTTTGAGATGGGTTTCTTCTGTGGATGGGCTAGTGTGGATGTGTTGCCACCTTCCTGATGTAGCATGTCTGTGCCTTTCTCTTCCCCAGAGAAAAGGGGAAATAAACCCCCCTCTTTTTTTTTTTTAATATGTGTGTACATATGTTCACATTTCTGTGATTATGTATGGATCCCAGTGAATGCCAGGTGTCATCCTCTATACAGAAATGTAGTATCTGCTAAGCCAAGCATGATGGCATATGTCTTTTATCCCAGCACTCTAGGAGGCAGGGGCAGGCAAATAGCTGTGAGTTTGAGGCCAGCCTGGGCTACATGGTGAGTCCAGGACAGCCAAGGCTACACAGTGAAACTCTTTCTCGAAAAACAAAAACAAACAAACAAAAAATAGTATCTGCTTTCTTTGAGATGGGGTTTCTTGTTGGCTGAGCACTCCCCAGTTGGACCTGGCTTGATCTGGGGGTTCACCTGTCTCTGCCACCCCTCTAGCAGTGAGTTACTAGCATGCCCACCACACCTGGCAAGTCCCTGTCGTGTGGGGACTGACTCAGATGCTGATGCGTAACTGGCTGGGCTGTCTCTTCAGCCTTTGAAAGAGAAAAGGGAATCAAATAACAAAACCTTCTTAATTAAAAACAAAAATTAAAAAAGGACTTTCCCTATGATTTTACCATAACATAGTAATTATTTTCCCCCTTTCTATCAGTCCACATACACACATATATATGCACACATGTACACACAAATATACATGTATCTCTTGGTTAATAAAAAAAAAAAATCAACTGTTTACCATAGAAAACTAAGGGACAGAGGGCCATGTTGACCTCAGACGCCCAGATGGTGTTATAAGTGTATATGGCACCATTCTTTTTCGGCTAAGTCTTGGCTACCTCTTTTTGAAGGTCGTAAGATTGGCTTATGGAATATTCTAGTTTTCTTTCTGTTGCTCTGTTTCACAGAGAAGCCTTGTCTTAGAAGGAAAACCTTAAAAAAAAAAAAAAATCCCCCGCAGACATTCCCATAGGCCTGTCCCTCAGGTGAGACTCTGCTCAGATGACTCTGGGCTGTATCAGTTGACAGTTAAAGATAACCGTGACAAGAAGAATAGTATGAATCTGCTGTTTTTCTTTATGTAGAATTTGTAAAAGGCCCAAATGCCCAGACATTTGAAGTCCTTGAGAAAGGTAGGTGAAGCATGGGAACAGACCAGTTAGATGCTTTGAGGCTTGCCAGGCCCCTGCATGCCAAGAGCTGCAGTAAAAGCAAAAAGGGGCTTCTGCAAACAACATTTATTTAGGCTGCTTCTAAATAGCCTATTTATTCTAAATAGCCTCCTTAGAGATTTAAAACATATTAATAAGAATCTTGGAAAGAAGCATTGGAAATTGTTTTTTTTAAGTGATAAGCATAATTTATTAAAAAAAAAACTGAAAAGAAATGTTATGTCTATTCTGTTTATCTAGCAGTCAAATGGATACTTCCTCTTATTCTTGTTTCCTCATCAATTCATGACCATTTCGAATTGCAATCTCAGGAACCTTGCCCCTCTAGAGAACTCAGAACCTTCGTTACAGCGCATAATTCCAGGTTGTTTGTTTGTTTTTGTTTTCAGGGCTTCATGAGGTAAGTGAGTGGAGCATAACTGGGCCCTGCTGAATCTCAGAGAACCAATACTTTCTATTGTATCCCTTGATGTTACAAGTTCTGTCTTTGCCAGAACATGAAGTGACAAGTGTTGGTAAGAGGACCTCACCTTGGCAGATGACAACTCTCAGCTTGTCTTTGCACCTACACGAATGACATTCCTGGGGCTTTGTTCATAAAGACCTAGACTCGCTCTCACCTCCACACACAGATCACTTGAATTCTCAACACCAGCTTGGCTTGGTTCTGAGCACTCTGAAGGCATTGTGCAGCCATGCCAGTGCTGCAGAGGCCACAGCTTGCTTTCTAGTTTAAAATTTATTTTGTGTCAAAAATTCACAGAATCTTAAAGAAAAAAGAGTGGTACAGTTACTCAACCACCCACTAAGCTGGGTGGGTCAGATGAGGAACCTTAGGAACATTGCCATCTTTTTTTTCCTGCTCTTTTAGTATTGTGGTCAGGGCCCATCCGTTGCAGCTTTATTCTAGTTTCTTTGTGTACAGAATGCTAGTCTTTAGAGAAGGGCATTTCAATCTCATGATCATGACCAGGCTTTTCTCTAGACACAGTTTGGCATCAGGTGTGGTGGTATTTACTTGATTTTTGAAATTACTTTTCGTTTTCTGGTATCAGTTTAATTCATGTGAGAAATCTTGTTTGTTGGTGGCTGCGTGGTCTCAGCTGCTTATAGCCTTCTCTGGTCTGTTCGTACCGATGAGCTTAGTGCCATTTCCTGGTTTTTGCTCTGTGCTGACTCAGTGAGAAAGCTCTGGGAGGCTGATTTGCCTCGGGGAATTGAAGTTCACTGACCACAGAGCGCATTGGCTTTAGAATTAGAACCATTCCCATCACATGGGGTTTGATCACATGTGACCTGGGATAGGATGGGCACTGATTTAGCCCTGGTTCTGAGCTATGTGGCTATCATGGTGGAGCACCTTCAGTGATTTAGTCCAGCCTCTCTACAAAATGAATCTGTATTTCAGAGAGCTATATAACCAAATGGTGGTTTTAGGGCATTGAAGGAAAGGAAAGTACTGTGATAACTATTAGTACTAATCATTATCTATCTGTCTGCCTATCTGTCTATCTATCTTTCCTGCAAGAGATAAGTAGTTGTTCATTCTTGAATAAGACAGCATTTACTGGCCGTTTGCAAGTGGGTATCTCATTTCTGGTATGAAGATTTCTCTGCTCATGCTGCCTGCCACTCAGCCCAAGTGCCTTTGCCCTTTCCCTCACACTCTCACAGGTGTTCAACTGAAGTCAGGGCTCCTGTGCCCGCGTGCATCCAGTGTGTGAGCTTTATGGGCCCAATGGTGCCCAGATATCAATTAGTACACTTGGGTTTGTGCTGGTTTACTCTTTAATCGGAGAATTCATAAGCAGACTCTTTTAGCGACCTGTGGCATGGAGGACAGCACAGTAGGAAAGCCCTGATGGAACAGGAGAGTTCACAGCTGTGTTGGGGTGATGATACTGAGGTAGGTAGTTAGCATTGCAGCATTTATCCACTTCCATCCTATATTTATGTGTATGTATCTCTGTGTGTACTTTAATAATTAGATCTTGCTATGTAGCCCAGGCTGGCCTTACATCTGTGACCCTTTTGCCTTAGCCTACCAAGCAGCTGGGATTAGAGGCACACGTTACTATAACTGGCTTTAACATACCAGTATTCTTAGATCTGTTTTTTACCATGATTTATTATGTTCCGAGGAACAGCAGTCCCTATCCATATTAAACCTGTTTTCAGTTGAGTATTGCTATCTTGTACAAAATGTTCCTTCATGAAAGAAAAAGGAAGAGCCGCTGATGGCTTTGTTTAGGAGGTGTGTTCTAAGCTGCTGAAGACACAGTGATGTGGCTATTGAGGATGGCTGTGTTCTCATGCTAATTGACCCTTTTGTGTGGTTTCAGAGGTGGTGGCCCAGTGGTGTACACAGGGAGACCTACTGGCCGTTGCTGGGATGGAGCAGCAGGCCCAGCTGAGTGAGCTGCCCAATGGTCCTCTTCTGAAGAGTGCCATGGTCAAGTTCTACAATGTCAGAGGGGAGCACATCTTCACGCTGGATACACTTGTGCAGGTAAGGACACCTGAAAGTGCCAGTGGGTTGCTATGCTCCAGTTTGGGTAAATAATCATAAGCTAGTTATTATAGTTAGCTTTGGCAAGTTGTAGTTTAATCATTTTTTCCTCGACTCTTGACTTTAAAACCAGTAAAATAGGGAAGAAAGCAGTTTTTACTTTTTAACCAAAATGCTTGATTCCTTTTTTTTTTTTTTTTTTGCTTGATTCCTTTTTAAAAGCAGACGAATAGAGAGTAAATAGAGGAATCTGGTTCTGATTTGGCCACTTACAGAAAAAAAACCCAATGAATAAATGCTCTAGGTCTTCACACAGTCCTTTGTAAGGGGGACAGTCACTTTTTTGAGTTCTTCCTGTAACAAAAATGAAGTTTACAAGGCAAAAATAAATGGAGAATTAAGTAGAACTCTGAAGTAGATCTGTGACAGCCCTACGCTTTCCAGGGCTGTTTGTAAAGGTGTAGAGCATCAGAAAGATGTGTTTCAACCGGTGCTTACTTCAGACATGCTTGCTTGTCCTTTAGTGCTACAAGCAATCATGGAACTGCCTGATGGGTGAGGGTCTCTCTAAATATCAGCGTTTCACCAAGAAACCAAGTCAGCCTCACCTCAGAAAATCTCGGTGGATATTTTTACTTACCTTCAGCTAGAAGTACAGCCAGATGTGTAGATAGAGATAATTAGGAAGTGGGACTATGGTCAGACGAGATGAAGCTGAAGATAGAGATTCCTAGTCACCTGCACAGAGACAGTGGGTTAAGTGAAATTGGATTAAGTGCCAAAGAAGTGAATAGTGAGAACAGGCAAACAAAGAAGTGTCTATGATTCGATATTAGAGTATGGCCGTCAATTAATAAGTAGCAGATGCAAAGGAAATAGAATGTCATAAGGAACCATTTTAAATGGGAAATATATCAGCCTACAGGCTAGCAGTTGAATATAGACATGGCAAAACTGGATTTGGAGGTTTTTAAGGTTGAGTGGTGTCTTCATGATGATGGCAGTTATACTGTAAAATATTTTCAGTCAATCAGTGTTTATGGAGGCGTTCGTATGTTAAGTGTTGTTCTAGAGCAGTGATTCTCAACCCTCCTAATGCAGTGACCCTTTATTATAGTTTCTCGTGTTGTGACCACCAACCATAAAAGTTTCCATTGCTTCTTCGTGACTGTAATTTGCTACTGTTATGAATTGTAATGTAAATATTTGATATGCAGGATATCTAATATGTGACCCCAAAGGGTCACAACCCACAGGTTGAGAACAACTGTTCTAGATGCTGGAGATGTTGCTGAAATAGTCAAGATAACGAGTGAGCAACAGTATGTTTTCTGAAGTAGAGTAAAATATCTGAACTTTAACTGTGTAATGTGACATGGTATGCAAACAAAATAAGGAGCAGGAGGGAACATGAAACAGAGAGGTGTGAATGTTTATAAACTACTAATAAGACCTAGCCAAAAAAAAAAAAAAAAGAAAAGAAAGAAAGATAAAGAAAGAGAAGAACACTGAGCAAGGGCAAGGTGGAAAGTGGGCTTGAGGACAGCCTGATAAACCTAGAGGACATGCACAGGAAAGAGAGTGCATCAGGAGCCGTGAGAGTATTAAAAAAAAGGAAGGACAGCTTCAGACTGACTTCCTGATAAACTGGAAGGTAGATAAAAGCACAGATGGAAATAGGATGCACCTTGCTGGGTGATAAACTGGGAGGAAATCCACGTTTTTAAATCAGGTTGTCGGTGCTGTTTTCTCCACTCTCATGGAGTCAGAAAGAGTACTTGTACCTGAAATGAGGAGTTAGAAAGGTCAGTGTAACTTCTGGTAAAGACCTTCTTAACATCATCAATGTATGACAGAGCAAGTATACCAGCTGGAGTCCTTCCCCTCCTACTAAAACCACGTGTGCTTTCAGGGAGCCCCACTTTATGACCAGCTCTAATTCCATTTACCTCTGAAAGGTCTTTTGTCCAATTAACAGCCACATCATATAACTTTGAGGGTTAATTTTTCAACATCTGGGGACATACTCAAATGTGCTAGTAGCAGACAAGTAGGAGAGGAGGGGAAACTTTTCAGTCTTTCTAAAGACGTTTGTATTTAATTGGATATTTGTGAATTCCATAAATATTCATACCTTATGATTTTGTCTTAGAGTGTGTACCTGTCCCACTGGCTTTCTATTCACTGGATAGAGAATGTTTTGCTCTGCTTTCTCAGTTCAGAGAAACCTATCTCAAACACAAGTGGGAGAGGATGGGAAGCTTTTCAATCTTTCTAAATTCATAAGACTTTCGTGTTTAACTTGTTAACATGCTCTTTTAAATCTACCCAAAGATTATGACCTTCTCTCTAAACCCGTGTAGTGTGTAATGCCTCTAGCATGTATTACTTTAATGTCTTATTTTCTTCAAGCTAAAGGCCACATTTGCCTTCATTTTCCTAACTTCCCTGTGATGGTCAGCTTGGAGTACTGCCATCACCCGACCTGTGGATACTTTCCTGCCATAAAGAACTAGTGTCCGAGAAGCCTGTTTGTCCTGTACTTTTACCTCTTAGAAACATGTTTTTGTTTTTGTTGTTCAGTAAAATGGCCTTTACCCAAATGGACTAGGGAGAAAATGGGCTTCTATGTACTGAATGTCAGGCGGTTGATTTTCTGAGTGAGATAGTACACATTCTTAAGGCTATTTGTTGGATCAGAGCACTAGTACTTAGGAGAAATGGCCACTTGTAGTAAGAGAAGCACCACTTATTGGGTTGAGCCAAGAGCTGTAGTTTCCACACTTATTAGCTGGAACTAAGTTACCTAGCTCACTTGTCTTCACTGTCCTCAGGGCTTAACTTGAGCAGGAGTGCCTGTCTGACAATTGAGAGGGCTGTGAGAGACGCATATAAACACTGCGACACCAGAAAGTAATGAGTTTTGAAGATGTGCGGATTGTGTTAAATGGATGGCAATTGAAACTTTGCATTTAGTTGAAGGTCTGGATTAGTAATGTAAATTCATGGCATAATGAAAAGAGATACATGCTTAGGCTAACTTTATATCTGACATGTAATTAGCTGTTATACAGGAATAGTTCACGGAAAGCAAAACTAGGAGGGAAGAGGACAGGAGTCTGCCTTCTGCAGTCCTGCACTGCTGGCATAGTAGCGCCATTCATCTATCAAAAAGGAATAGAAAATTGCAGGAAACAAGTCATATTTCTGCAGGCAGCTCGTATGTCAGATTGTACAAGTCATCATGACTTGACCACTAAGCTAGGAATTTATTTATATTGGGGATAGGGTGCAAAGGTAAGATAAGCAGGTGTCTTTAAAACTGAGCGTAAAGGCTAGGGATTTAGCCCAGGTATAGTGTGCTCCTGCAACATGATTCCCTAGCACCTCCAACCAACAAATCAATCAAAGTCTAAGTTTGGTGCAACTGGAGCCCCTGTCCTAATATGTAGCTTCAGAATTTATGACCACTTCCCCCCCCCTATACATATGCATATGCATACACACAAACTCACATGTACATACACATACGTGTGTGTGTGTGTGTGTGTGTGTGTGTGTGTATGTGTGTGTCCCTCCCTCCGTTAACAGTGTGCCGTCTGTGGAATCATCTCATTGTTGAAGCCTAGCTTGGAATGTTACACAAGCCCTCAGACCTGAGTTTCTGAATCCATAGCGAATAAATACATGATGTTCTTCGATGGGGGAGCTGTTGGCCAGCCTCATGGATAAAAATACAAGATAAATTATGTTCAGCCGTGCATTTTACTTTTGGAAGTAGAAACCAGAATTAGTTGACCCTAGGGGCTATTTTAAGGAATTGTCTTTATGTGCTTCTTTTATCTTGATGTTTGCCACTAAAGTGTTGTAAGAATTCTGTTCCTATCTGTCATTATATAAAAGATCTGACATCTCCACTTGTGATCTCTGGAGCCTCTGGAGACCTCATTAAATTAGCACTCCATGTGTCTGGATCAGTGTGACCAAATCTCCTGTTTCTCCAGCACAGCCTTTCATCTCCTTATACCTTGCTTGGTTTATATAATACTCTTACTTAGATAATGCTCCTGAGTTTGATATTTAGTTCAGTAAAAGTTTCTAACATGTGCATATTTGGATTGCAGCTTATGTTTTCAAAGGCGATCCTCATAAAACCCTAGAGTCTCCAGGAGGAACTCCACTTCTCCAACTCTCTCCCTTTTCCAAAGAGAGCTCTGCTTGCTATTCCTGACCCAGTGCTTTGAGGATAGTTGAGAACAACAATGTCTTAATTCCTGGGTTGTAGCCATAATAGATCCCAAAAGCACCATGGTGCTACCTTCTCCTATAATTCTCACAGTATTCCTATTTGAATCATAAAAATGTAGGAGAATTAAAGCTGGGGATTAGTCCCCAGTTTTGTGACTTAGAGACCACATCCAGTGTTAATTTGACCCTGAAGTGCTGTCTCTTAGAAGAATTGAAAAAGGTCATGTAGTCTACCTCTTTATCACCATGTAACTCATGGGAGTCACCACTGGGTGAGAAGTATAGGAGAGTGTACCCTTAAGCAGTTGCCCCTGCTTTTAGGAACCATGTCATACAGAGCTAGTATTCTCTGCTGTGCTTTGAAAAACCAATGTTCTCAAAACTGTCAAATGACTTTTATTTTGCTCAATCAAGTTTAACTGTACCCCTCTCCCCCTGCAGCGCCCTATCATCTCCATCTGTTGGGGCCATCGGGATTCCCGGCTGCTTATGGCCTCAGGACCAGCCCTGTATGTGGTCCGTGTAGAGCATCGAGTGTCCAGCCTCCAGCTGTTGTGCCAGCAGGCCATCGCCAGCACCCTTCGAGAAGACAAGGACGTCAGCAAACTGACCTTGCCCCCTCGACTCTGTTCCTACCTCTCCACTGCCTTCATTCCTACTATCAAGGTAGAGACTTCCCCTCTGTTCTTCCTGTTCTTCCTTCCTAGCCTTTCTCCAACAAGAGACAGGAAAGATGGGGGAGGGTACCAGAGGTAATGCAGAGACTTCTCTGATTCTCCATTAGAGTGCCTAGGGATGGCTGCATGGACTATGCGTCTGCAGCCTGCCTGGCATTCCTGTTAGTTAGTGTCCACATGAGATTTTCTCTTGACTTCCAGCAGATTCTAACATTGTTTTCACTTGATAAAGCAGTAAACAAGTTCATATAAGGACAGTAACTTCTTCTAAAGCTAGTTAGGACACTAGTCAGGACTGGGTCCAAACCAGTTCTGGGGCTTGCTGCTCTCCCCACTGTACTGAGTGCGACTTCCATATAGTGCAGCTCCCAGCCATCTTTTATGTGTCTGTCCCCGGGAAATGCCTGTAAAGAGGCAGCACGTGAAACAGACCAGCCGCCTGCTAGTTACCTGCGGCTTTCTAGTCACCTCAGGCCCTGCACACATAGGACCTTTCCTGTGTTATGTCTCTAGATTGACTTGATCACTTTTCTCCTGATACATTAGAGTTCTAGAGTCTAGTGGTTATTTTTTTCTAAGTTGCCTTACAATATTGATAATGTGCCAGGAGTTCTTGTGTAATATATCAGAAAAAGTAGAGGTCCAGGCTGTCACCAGTTGTTGCATTCCAAAGTGGGACCCTCACTTAATTGCACAGTTTTGAGTTGCTATTTCACAGAATACAGTTGACCTCTGCCTGGTCTATACTCTTCCAGAGTGGCTATGACAGAAGCCAGTCTGCCCTGTACTTGCTCCTTTTTTTTTCTGAAATTCTAGATGTGCTTTCTCTGCCTGTGTCCTGCCTTTAGCCCCCGATTCCAGACCCCAACAACATGCGAGATTTTGTCAGCTACCCCTCAGCGGGCAATGAGCGGCTACACTGCACCATGAAACGTACAGAGGATGATCCAGAGGTTGGTGGGCCTTGCTACACACTCTACCTGGAGTATCTGGGAGGACTCGTGCCCATTCTCAAGGGGAGGCGCATCAGCAAACTGCGGCCAGAGTTTGTCATCATGGACCCTCGGACAGACAGCAAATCAGGTGGGCCCCTTGCTGCAGGGACTGAGACCCCGTTCTTGTGTGGTTGTGGAGTATCACTCTTTGTTTTGTTGTTGCTTTTGTTTTTTACATTTAAAATTTTATTTATTATTTATTGTAATTAATTCAGTTTGTGTCCCCTCCCAACCCCACTGTCCTTCCCTCTTCTTGCCCTATTCCCCTCCCCTAGTCCACTGATAGGGGAGGTCCTCCTTCCCTTCCATCTGACCCTAGCCTATCAGGTCTCATCAGGACTGGCTGTATTGTTTTTCTCTGTGGCCTGGTAAGGCTGCTCTCTCCTCAGGGGGAGGTGATCAAAGAGCCAGCCACTGAGTTCATGTTGGAGACAGCCCCTGCTTCCCTTACTAGGGAACCCACATGGAGACTGAGTCTATGGGCTACATCTGAGCAGGGGTTTTAGGTCCACTCCATGCATGGTTCTTGATTGGAGTATCAGTCTGTGCAGGACTCCCAGGGCCCAGTTGTTTTGTTTTGTTTTGTTTTGTTTTGTTTTGTTTTGTTTTGGCTCTATTGGTCTCCTTTTGGAGCTCCTGTCCCCTCCAGGTCTTTCTATTTCCCCCTTCTTTCATAAAATGGAATATTACTCTTAATGCTGTTCAAGGAGAATACTTGTTTCTGAGACCTATTTCATCTGGTTAGTGTGGAACATTTTTGAAGTTCCTCTATGTAAGTCTTCTGTCACTGAATGTAGCCCCTCTCACTGTCACAGAACAAGCATCCGTTGAGTACTGAAATGTAGTACTGAGGGGAGTAGAGAAAAAAATAAGTCTCTGCCTTCTCAGGAGGGTGACAGAATTCAGTTTCAAGCCTTCAGCCCACCTCAGCCTTATGCTCTTGCCTCTGCCCTGCTAATCCAGAATTTAGTTTTCTAGTAGGTTCTAGTGAAAGTTTCTTACTGATCCATTATAGTTCTGACATGAAACATCATTTTGTCCTTATGGGAATCCCCTCTTGGGCATCGGTGCTTAGATATATTAAAGATGCCTCTCTCTCGGATCCTAGACTGAGGCCTCCACAGGAAGGTACTGTGGGTTTTTGTGCCAGTTAGTTGCCGGTTGAAGGTACATGTGAGTAACCGCAGCGTATACATTCTGTGAAGGCCGCCACAGAACGTACAACATTGACCTTGGTGTCCATCACCTGTCATAGTGTACTGACTGGCACACACGGTCATTCTCAGGAGCCTGTTGACCCTGGAAGGGAAACTGGTCATCTTTGTAGCACCAGACCTTGAGACAACATTGTTTAGATTGGATTTGGTTCATTAGTTAATACTCTCCACTTCCTAGCGTGTGACCAAGGGCTTCTTAGTTCTTAAAGCAGTGGCCATATTCGGCCTCAGTCTCACTTGCTCTTGCCAGGACTGTACATGTCTGCTCCAACCATGTTCCTAGGCATTACCACAGCAACTGTGGCAGTGTTCTCCACCAGGGTTCCCATATGAAGTTAAGAGCAATAAGCCTCAGCTTTAAACCATGAATCCTCATCATCTTTCTTGACTTTTGACTAGCATGATCAGTTCGTACCAAGGATAGAAGGAATGAGAAGAAGAAGTGAGGGCATACAGTCAGACCAGGAGGGAAAGGAAAGATGGAAAATTGGAGAGAATGGCTTCAGGGGGACAGCTTACTGATGGGAGAGGTATATGGCCTGGTCTCTCCAAGCCTGCATACTTTGTAGGCACAGCTCTACAAACCTAGACTGAGACCAAATACTAAGATCTTTTGGGTAAAGGGCTTGTTTCTTTCCCCCATGTGCCTGACTTCCCTCTGCAGAGGGGGCTGCAGCTTCCTAATGCCAGGCTTAGCTGTCTGGTTTTTTTTCATGTTCATACTGACAACTCACACCAAATACATAGTGCTCAGTCGCTAACACTTCTTTGGGAAATGAGGTCATTTATCTTAATATTTTTTATAATTAAAAGTAATGAAGTGAATCCACAAACACCAAGTCCTTGCCCGTTGTATGTGGTACCTGAGCCCCTTGTGGAACCTGCTAGAACACAGGACAGTTTAAGCACTGGAAAAGTTCATTAAATTCAAATACCTCATGACAGAAATAGAAGCTGTGTCACAAGGCACAGTGTGACTAATTGGCAACTAAATGGTATATACAAAGCAGCTCAGAGGATTTGTAACCTTAATATTTTTACTTACTGCTAGAAATGTTCACCAAGTATCTTGACAAATAGAATTGGCGTAGAATTATCATTGTGGGGCTGCAGATGAAGCTTGGCCTGCATACAGTACTTGCCCAGCACATACAACAGCCTGAGTTCAGTGCCTCCATAACCTAGGCATAGTGCGACATGCCTGTATCCTCACCTTCCAGAGCTGAGAGTAGGAAGATCTGAAGAGCAGAGTCGTCCTTAACTCTGTAGCAAGTTCAAGGCCATCCAGGGGTATATGAGCACAAGGCAGGGCTGTGGGGATTGAGTAGCAAGAAGCAGGGATGAGAGTGTACTGTGATGGAAGCAACAAGAGACCTCTGGAATAGGTGTCTAATTGCAGTTCTGTGCTTGGTCCACTCTGTGCTTTTTCTTACCCTCTATTTTGGGCCGCAATTTTCCTTCTGATGCCCGACAGGCAAAATGAAGGCAAATGGCTTCTGTATGAAGTACACATAGAGCAACCCAAAACCACCACTGCATGTTACCACTGTCCAGAGTCTCCCTTCAGCCCTCTAACGAGGGTTAGCTTCACCAGGTGGGATTGTCAGGCCATAGACATCCTGTGGCAATTCTAGAATCATCATTCTAGACATTCTTGGCGTGGACCCTACTTCGCAAGATTATAGTTCCTACAGGCCTGGGCCAGTTGGCCTTCCCAGGGCAGAAGCAGGTTCCAGGGAGTCTGGATGAGCTCTCAACGTCATTTTACAGTCTACTTGAAAGTTCCCACAAGCCTAAGTCACCTGAGTGTTGTGAGGCTCAGCAGTGAAGGTTTTTGTTCTTGGGCTTTTGGCACAATGAGCAAGTTTGTATATTCCTAGGGCACTAAAACATCATCCATTTTAACAGCAGTTGTAGAGATTACCTACTTCTGTTTAGAAAAGAGCATAAAAAATATAAAAGGAAAAGGACATTTCTATTTTAACCCTAACCCAATGAGGAAGCCAATAAAGTCAGCCTATATAGCAGTTCTGTGTACCAGTAACAGTTGCTTACACCGATGATTGGTCTCTTACAGATGAGATCTATGGGAACAGCTTGATTTCTACTGTGATTGATAGCTGCAACTGCTCAGACTCCAGTGACATTGAACTGAGTGACGACTGGGCTGCCAAAAAGTCTCCTAAAATTTCCAGAGCTAGTAAATCACCCAAACTCCCAAGGTAACAGTAGGCTTTCCTTTGTTGTGCCTCTATGTGATCTGACATTGTTTGTTCTAGGAACAGAGTTCCATTGACGATGACTGTAATGAGATTCTGAACTGCTTGGGTCCACATTGCAGCTCTACTTGGCTACAATGAAAAGAATAGGAAGGAAAGGAAGGTCACACTTAGACAGCAGCAAAATCAACTCTTTTGTTTTCTCCTCATTTTTCATTCTGGAAGGTTCTTTCTGGAGTAGTTACAGCTTGCCTGCCTGCTTTGCTTTTCCTTCAGAATAGAAAGTATGCTAAGGTCAGCAGGGAGGGTGGGCGACTTAAAACAACCATCGCTTCCCCGCTTGCTTGTTTCCCTTCCAGGTTAAGAAAAGAGTGTTTATAAGCTGATGTGTTGTGTTGAAGAGAAGGCCAGCTTCCGTGCCTATAACACTGTCTGAGGAAGGCAAAGGGACTGCTGTCATCACCTGCGGGAACACTTTTCTCCTCTTGCTGTCATGGCTGTGTGACTAGACAGACAAGACTTATCTATGGGCAGTAATGGACAGGCAGAACCTCCTCAAGACCCTTGCTTGTTTAGAGTTCTGTGATAGCATGCAAATCAGGGTGTGATTTCCATACTATTCTAGATACCTCAACTGGTCATCTTTTAAATATCTGGTACATTGGGCAGTTGATTGACCAGGATGTCTCTGGTTGAGGATAAAGGACATGCCCATCATCCTGGAAGTTCTGTTGTGCTTCTTGCATTCATCATGTCTTCTGTTGCTATAAATTATTTTTTTACTGTTGAATTTTATATGAATATGGGTGCTCTTTATGTAGATTCTTTTCTCAATGCAGTATCATGAATATCAGTAGTTTGCCTTTTCATTTTAAAACCCTTTATGGGATTATTTCATTATAACAAACATGTCATTATGTGTTTTTCTAGTCAATGGATAGCTGATAGTCTCAAGTTTTTGGGACTGTGATGAATAAATCCATTATAAACTTTTTTGTGTAAATCTTTTGGGAAATATCACATTCACTTCTCTGGTATATCTTATGAAAGAAATTACATGGTCATGAGTTAAATACATTTTAAATTTTAGTGGAAACTGCAAAGTATCATTACAAGGTGACTATACCAAATTAAATTTCTGCAACAGTTATGTAAGAATTCTCAGATCTACTTTATAGCCAAACTATATGTGTATGACATGAACAAAGGGTAAACAATTATTTTACTGCCCAGCTGCTCCAATAATGAGTCATTGTTTTTTATCTAAAGTTTGCTAAAACTGCACATAAAATTATGGACTTGTAGCATTCTGTAGTGTTTTTCCATTCCCTGTTATTACACATTTTGTCTAAATATTCTTTGAAGGTTCTATCACTCTTGTGAATGGTGCCCCCTTCTTCATTCCCCTCTGCCTGAAACTCTTATACAGAAGCTAAGCCAATAGCCTTAGCTTGAAGCTCAATTCTCTCCATTTTTCCATTTTTCTGGAGCCTGAAGTTTCTTACCAAGTTTGAAAATAGTATATATCTGGTGCTTTGTGCATTTTTCTGATGCATTATAAACCTTAACATAGCTGTTTTCATAGCACCATCTTTTGGGTAGACTAGTGTTAAATGCCTGTATCTTTACATTGTAAATAAAGGAGTAGAGATAGAACATGGAATCAGAGGCAGCAGAAAAGCTTTAGAATCAGTGATTTGGCTTAAATGTTATAGATGGGAGTGTTAGGTAATCTGCTAAAATCCAACCTAACATAGAAGGAGTCTTGTAAATCACAGTGGCCTTAGGATGAGAAACAGTCTTTCTCCTACCATTTTCCTAGGGTGATTCTACAAACCTGTGGCAAATGGCGTGTGGACTTTTCTGAACATACTACATGTCAGTAGGTAGTGACTCTAGGCTCTTACAGATGAATCACTTGGTGTAACCTCCATACTGTTTAAGTTTTTTGTATGCTCAGTATTCTTTTCTCTTGTTCCTAAGTCAAAAGCAAGAGAGTGCTTTGTGAAATTAGGTCCCTGACCATTGAGAGCTACCATCCACATGAGTATCAGAGGGAGGGAGGCATTCTGGATCCAGATGCATCCCTTTGTACATGTCTGACTTCTGCCCTTGTCTACACAGGATCAGCATTGAGGCCAGAAAGTCACCCAAGCTGCCCCGGGCTGCTCAAGAGATTTCTCGGTCTCCCCGATTGCCCATGCGCAAGCCCTCCATGGGTTCACCCAGCCTGACTCGGAGAGAGTTTCCTTTTGAAGACATCACTCAGGTAGACATGCATAGCTGACAGTGGGCCTGCACACAGTTAAACCATCAGGCTATCTGGAAGCACCACCATCCTTCCCAGCTTGCCTATCCTGCTCATTGCCACACCTGCATGCAAACTGTACAGCTCTCTTGCTAGAGTGTTCCTAAGGAGAGCTGACTGAATGTATTCCCTTCTTCACTTTTGCCTTCTGTCCTGCGGTGACTCCTCAGTTCTAGGAAAGGAACACTGACCATAGCCCCAGTCTCTCCTTTCTGCCTTCCGAAGACTTCCTTCCCTCTACCTGGGTTCTGCCTGACTCAACCTCTCCAGCTCCTCCTTGGTTTTGCCCTCCTCCAGCCCTAACTCAGTTAGTTTGTGCCTTCTCTGTGAAGGCCTCCTGCCCTAGCCCAGCCCACACAAGTGGTGTCTAACCCCCTTCTAGTGTTCATCAAAGACTTCTTCGTCTACCAACCAGGGAAATCCATCGTAAGTTCCTCCAGGAGCTGTCTTCTTCTCATCCGTATTTTACTCACATCTACCTTGAGCATAGCAGTGACTTTAAAATTGATTAAACAGTATGATAATTGGGAGGCTTAAGGACATAATGGTTTCAACTCAGCTGACATCTGCAGAATTTATCCAGGATTCAAAGGGAGAAATTAACAAAATTGTGTGCCAATCTCTTTGACCCTTTTATTTTAAAATTTTGTGGTTTTATTTTAGGTTATGTTTTTGTTATTTCACATAATGTTGTTATTGCTTTGTTGTTTTCTTGGTTAATTGGTTTGTTTTAATATTGCTAGTAGCCTAGACTGGTCTGGAGCTCCGTGCACTCCTGTCTCACCTTCCCGGTTATCCTCAGTTGACAGCCCACAGCACCTACTTTAGTTTTCACTATTTCTGAGATGAGGCCATGCTGTTTGGCCCAGGCTGGCCTCAGATTCCCACTTCATTCTCCTCACTAGATGAAACCACTACTCTGAGATTTGATGGCCTTTTTATTTTTTATTTTTTATTTTTTTTTTGAGACAGCGTCTCTTCTATCCTAGGGTGGCCTCAAACTCGCTGTGTAGCCATGGATGACTTTAAACTTCTGATATTTGTAGCTTAACTTCCAAAGTGCTGGGATTCCAGGCTTGTAGCACAGGTTGAATTCGTGCAGTGTTAGAGATCAACCCAAGGGCTTTATGCATGCTGGGTGGGCATTCTTCAAACTGAGCCACATCCCGAGCCCTTTAATAACCCTTTTAAAGATTTGTTGATGTATGTATGTATATGTGCTTGTTTGTGTTTATGTGCACCAAGTACATACATGTAACCATTGAACTGATCCCTGGAATTGGGAGTTACATGTAGTTGTGAGCCACCAGATATGGGTGCTGGGAATGGAATCTGGTCCTTTACAGCAGTGCATGCTCTTAGCGCCTTGAGCAATCTCTCTAGCTGCTAACGACCCTTGTAAACTGAACACATGGGGACATGCCCCCAGCTCAGTGGACCACTGCTGGGAAGTGGGAGCTCGGCGTGCTCTAGGGAGCCTCTGATCCTAAGAGAGGCCTAGATGGAGACTTAATGTTGCCTGCAGTGTCTGCTTACATCTTACATTTTAGCGTTCGTACTAAGTGCACAATAGACAGTGTGAAAATAGACTGAGATTCTTTCTTCTTCTTTCCCCTTGCCCCCACAGCACAACTATCTTGCTCAGGTCACATCCAATATCTGGGGAACCAAGTTTAAGATTGTGGGCTTGGCTGCCTTCCTACCAACCAACCTTGGTGCAGGTAAAGATTCATTTTGTTTTCTTACCGTTCCATTTTGGAAATCAGAGTAAAGGTTCCAGTTTCAACCTGTGGCAGCTTAAATTAGAAAATGAGCTCCTAAGACAGTATAGGATTCATGCGTACACCCAGACTCTAGCCACTGTGATGTCAGAAAATCAGACCTGTTCCTGGTGTTTACACCCCCCCCACCCCGATAAGCTGTATTATAAAACTAGTAAATGTAGCCAAAATCTCCAATAGACCACTGAAAAACTTGTAGACATTTGGCTATTGTTAGCAGATTTAGTTCCAGTGCCCAGGTTCTTGAAGTACAAGAAACTTGTATAGAGAAATAATAGGGGCATTAAAAACCAAGAATTTAGCTGGCTGTTGAGAATGCAGTTCTTGTTTTCCTCATCTGGTAAACATCCTGCCTGTGACAGGTTTGAGACACAGAAGGGCAGTGGAGGCTGGGCCAGAGCCCAGGCTTTGGTTTTCGTTTGCATTTCTATCCAGGTGAGTAGTAAGTAGTAGCTCACTACCTTTACCTCAGGGGCAGGGAAGACCTACAGATGGCAGGAGAGCCTTTGCAGGGCAGCCTCATGCTTGCTGGGTCTTCAGATGCACACTGCTGCGCTGCCTGCCTCCTGCCGTCTTCCTGGGTTGCCTCCTTACCTGTCAAACATGGCTCTCTCTGCGAGGCCTGCAGACCTTGGCCCTTCATCCAGTATGTGCTCTCTGCACTTAAATGAGAATTATCCCTCCAGGATTCTGTTTATAAACCCTGTGTCCTATGCAGACTTGTGAAACAAGTTATTCTTGCAAACCAGATGCTAAAAATGTGGTGAGGATGGAGTGCAGCAGTGGAGCACTTGCCCAGCATGCCCAGGGCTCTGGTTTGCTCTCTGCCACTATCACCTCCCCCAAATGGAAAGGCCTGTGACTGTGTGTGCACCTGTAGGTTTATTGAAGCAGCGCTAGGCTTAGATCTTTAATGTTGAAGGTTTCAGTTACAATAAAAGGGAAGCAAAATTAGAACATAAACTTGAACTGGAAGTAATCCTCAGCCTCAAAAAACAAATCTTTCTTTATATAATGCGGTGAAGAAATGACGTGATGGTGTGCACATGTGGGTTTTTATGTAGTAAATATTGTTTTATTGCATGAGCAATGGCTTTCCTTTTTCTTTTCCCATTTTCTTTCATAGCACAACTCTCTTGTCTCCAAAAGGAATTTCTTAAAATATTTCAACAATCGGAAAGTACTCTGATGACCACAGAATGTTCACTCACCTGTGCCCTAGTAACTTGTTTAAATGTCACCATTACCTCCATCTCAGTACGCTGAGAACTTAGCCTTCCTAAAATAGATTGTGAGGAAGAATTGGGGTAAAAAAATTATTTAATGTATTTTTTCAAAATTTTGTCCTCTTATGGTGAGTAGATCCATAGTTAAGCCAGTAAAGGTACTAAAAATGGGAGCAGTGGGTATCCTTCAGGCCCCTGCTGTTCCGGTGTGAGTCAGTAGGATGTCAAGACAAAAGCAGTAGAATCATTGTTCTCCTAATCATCGACTTCTTAAAAAAGAGCATTAGGTCCATATAGTGACCACAACCAAGCCTAGAATTCCCTACTTGATTACGTTATAGAAAGGAAGTCAACTTTTAGATTCTAGGAAGTATACTCACTATTCGTTACCTTAATAATCTTTTCAAATACAATGTATGATGCTCTAATGGGCTTAGAAAGTAAGTACTCCCTATATTTAATTATTTGTTTTTTAATTTGAACAGACTAGCCCATTGGGTAGGGGTGGGGTTGTAAGTTCAGCACTGAGGGAGAGGACAGCAGGTGGGTCTGGCTTCTTCCTTGGCAGCCTCTTTCCTCATGGCAGCCAGTAGGTTACTCACTTCCCGGCTTCCTCTTGGCACCACCCCCTCCTCGCTCCTCCTTCTCTTCTGAGACAGTCTCATTGTGGAGCCCTTTCACCCTCTTCTTTACTTGCGTCCAAGTTCTGCTGATCTAGGGCAAGAAGCCACACCTCCAGGGTCATGTCCCATGTAACCTTCATCTCTTTGCTGATGGTCCCGGAAGCTCACTGGCTGTGCGTAAGCGTGTCCACATGTTTGGTCACCTGTAGTCCTTGCTGAGACCTGTGGCTGTAGGGCACAGAGAGCTGTGGTGGCTGTGACCGATCCATGAAATTTCTTCTTTTTTTTTTTTTTTTTTACATAACCTAAGTATTATGTCATAGATTCAAAATTTAGAAGAGTGTTAAAGGAGTGTTAAAGTAAATAGAGGACTGAGAGAGTAGAAAAAGGTGGCAAAGTGTGAGAAAGAGAAGGAAGGAGAGAGGGAGAGAGAGCAAGAGGAGAAAAAAAGAGAAAGCAGTAAGTGAGTTTGTAATTATTCCTCAGTTAAAAGGAAAATTGTTCTTTATTTATCTGGATAACACAGATAGCACTTTTGCACTAACTCAGAACAATATAGGACTTTTCCACCAAAATAATATATATTTTTTATGGGCAAGAGTGATGTGACTGTGGGTAAGGAAGACAACTCCTGAGTGTCAGGTTCATACAGAGGTCTCAGCAAAAGCCAGGATTTCAGAGCAGTGCTGGCTTGTCAGGCCCAGAGCCAGGGGAGAAGCAGTGATAGACCCAGGATGTGGATTTTCTTACCAAAAATGCTGAGTAAAAGCATTTTTACTTTTTTACATTTTACTGGGTACAGCTTTATAGGAAAGATGGGTCAGTGAGATCGCTCCCTGACTAACGGCACTTGCGCAAAGGCCGGCCAGCCTAAGTTTGATCTCCTAAATTTACGAGATGGCAGGATAGAACTAACCTCACACATGTGTCATGACACATATGTGTCTCTCACACATACACACGATTAAATTCAGAATAATAAACATTTAATCATAAAAGAATTGATAGAAGCCTAATCGCATTTTTAACCTGCTTGTAAAACTTAGATTCATAATTTTAAACTTAATTTTCTCTTTTCTAACTTTTATTTACAACTTAGGCTTCCTCTTAACTGTGTTAATCACCTTAAATGTTAAGGTGTAGACAAACTGTAGAGGTGCTGTAAATCCTTCCACAGATCACATAGGTGAGAGTCAGTAAGGTGCAATTCAGCCTCAACAGCAGCGGCTCTTCGTGCCTCTATGGTACCCAGTCCCACAGGTGTCAAATAGCTCTCAATAACAGTGTTTCAACTAAATTATCCTTCTGCTTCCAAAAGAAGCTTTTAAGGATGTTCAAGGTGTGTTTTTGGCATTTAGAATTTGTGGTTCTGTGGACAGACCAAGAGTACTCCAATCCCACATGGTGTTGTGCATCGCAGGAAGCTAAGAGCCGAGAGCTGCCCTCCAGCCTGTGCAGATCTGCCTGCCAACAGCAGGGTCCATGGCCCTGCATTTGTCTCCATCACACTGAGTCTGGGGCTCTCCTCTGCTGTGCTTCCTTAACTGTGTCCTCCTTCCTCCCACCAGTGATCTATAAAACCAGCCTGCTGCATCTCCAGCCTCGGCAGATGACAATTTATCTCCCAGAAGTAAGGAAGATTTCCATGGACTATATTAATCTACCTGTCTTCAACCCAAACGTTTTCAGTGAAGATGAGGATGATTTACCAGGTATGTCACATATCTGGACTTGTCTGAACCGTTCCTTTCTTAGTAGATCGTGCAAGGGGACAGAGTGTTAAGCTATTTTGTACAGTTGCTGATGAGGTTTGAAAAAGGCTCAGCTCACTCGGTGAGCTTAAGAGGCTTCGGGGTCCTGTGAGGAAGCGCAGAGGGTGCTCTTTGGCAGGAGGGAAACTCCCAGAGCGCGGACGGTTAAGGCAGTGATGACAGTTCACAGAGCACTCCTCACATCGCGTGTTACCTTTCTTTGCTCTCTTTGCACACGTAAACACTCTGACCAAGACCTATCCTCGGGGAAGATAGGGTTCATTTCATCTCACAACTTACTCTTTTAGGAAGGGAAGTCAGGGCAGGAACCTGGAGACAGGAACCTAAGCTAGAAGGCTGTGTGAAATCAGAACTAAACTCTGTCTCAGGGGTCTCTCCTAGCTTCTATCCTTTCTATCCCTGCTTAGAGGGCACCTCTCTAGGGGTAGGTGGTGCTCACAGATCCCAGCCCCTCAGACCGGCCCTATGTCCAGGACTCAGGGCCTTTGTATCTGAATACACTCCTACCACTCAGAGCGAGCCTCTGTCAGCACACAGGCCTGGCTTGGGTTAAAGATGCTTTTTAGCACAGATTCTTAAATGGTCCTATTTTATTCATAGATCAGGGTACTTTCCACTGGCTGCCAATGAATTATATCTAACTAGCCTCAGTTACCCAAGGGCACGTGAGAAACATCCCTCTTTTTAAGTACAAGCCCATTTGCAGTTTTGTAGACGTGGACCCTACTTCCAGCAGCAGTACCTGCCCTTCAGTGAATGAACTGTGGATACTTGAGCGTGGCGTGTGCTCTGTTGGTGGTTTAGATGAGGTGTATCCTCTCCCCTGACAGCCACTCTGTTGCCCCAGATGCAGTGAGGAGAGCTTTCTCCACAGTTGCATTGCCGCAGTGGCTGTCATTGCTGTGTGTAACTCTCGGTTGAGAGGACGGAATGCACTGTCTCAGGGCTCACCTCAGTGATGGGGACTCCACAGAGATTCGGAGTTGGAGAGGGAAATAGCCGAAGTCACTGCTTTCTGGAGACCAAAGAGAGATCAGCAAAAGAGTGATAGGGGAGCTTGAAGTGGGACCCAGAACCTACAGCCAGAGGATGAAATACCTTAGCGGTCCCAGGGAAGAGGGAGGTATCAAAAGCCAGCTTAGCTTTTGATAACTTGGTAGCCGCATTCTGCGGCTCGGGTGCAAAGTCAGCCGTCTATACAGTGAGCCTGTCAGACCCTGCTTGCTCACTTATTTGTTGCTGTGCAGCATTTAACACCGTGGGTCAGGCCTCTGGACCTGTGAGAGTATTCTCTGAGGAAGAGACACAGCTGCTCAGTGGGTTAAGGGGAATGAAGTTGGAGTCAGCCCTGCTGCCAATAGGAGCACAGGCTGGTTCTGAGCACCTGCCTGCAAGTCACTGTTGACATTCATCATTCGTGAAGTGACACTAGATAGTGAATGGAATATACACATGCTTTTTACTGGTTGGCTATCGAATGCTCTTTGAAATGCTAAAAAGCAGTAAATAAGAAAAAGTAATTCAGCTAAGGTGTACATTTCTAGGAGATTCTTTTCTTTAGTTTTTCCACCTTACTTTATGTAGGCATTTCATGAGTATAAACCATTATGGAGTTCTTTAGACATTTAAGTGTGATGGTATCGTTCAGACATGTGGTACCAGACTCAGAAGATTCAAACATGATCATTGTGACAGTGCCTTAGTCCGTGTGTAACAGACAGGCTGTGCTGCCGACTCCCTGGTTGGCTATGTGTTCTTCCAGAAATGTTAGAGAACAGCCTTATGTCTTCAAGCAAACACATCTCAGTCTTAATAGTTGCATTTTGCTTGCAAAAGATCAGATAAGTCCAAGCATGCAGCTTACTGTGACCCAGTCCCATGGCACTGTTTTGCAACCAATTCTTTTTTCTGGTTCTTTTCCAGTTCCAGGAGCATCGGGCGTCCCTGAGAACAACCCACCTTGTACAGTGAACATCCCCATCGCACCAATTCACAGCTCTGCTCAAGCTCTGTCTCCCACACAGAGCATAGGGCTGGTGCAGTCCCTGCTGGCCAATCAAAATGTGCAGTTGGATGTCTTGACCAATCAGACAACAGCGGTAGGGTCAGTAGAGCATGCGAGTGATGCCACCCAATACCCAGTCTCCAGTCGGTACTCTAATCCTGGACAGGTGATTTTCGGAGGTGTAGAAATGGGCCGCATCATTCAGAATCCTCCTCAGTTGCCTTTGCCACCACCGCCACCGCCACCACAGGGGCCTACGCAGCTGTCGGTAGTGGACCATGGAGAGCGAGACCATGAGCACCTGCAAAAGTCAGCCAAGGCCCTACGGCCAGTGCCTCAGCTGGCAGCAGAGGGGGATGCAGTGGTTTTTGGTGCCCCCCAAGAGGTCCAGGTGGCAAAGATGAATCCCCCACCCCCCTACCCAGGAACTATTCCTGCTGCCCCCACCACAGCAGCGCCCCCGCCCCCGCTGCCACCGCCACAGCCCCCAGTGGATGTGTGTTTGAAGAAGGGTGACTTCTCACTCTACCCTACGGCAGCACATTACCAGCCCCCCCTAGGCTATGAGAGGATTACCACCTTTGACAGCAGTGGCAATGTGGAAGAGGTGTGCCGGCCTCGCACCCGGATGCTCTGTTCACAGAACACCTACACTCTTCCTGGCCCAGGCAGTTCTGCCACCTTGAGACTCACAGGCACTGAGAAAAAGGTCCCCCAACCCTGCACCAGTGCCACTCTGAACCGCCTGACTGTCCCTCGATACTCCATTCCCACAGGAGACCCACCTCCATACCCTGAAATAGCTAGCCAGCTGGCCCAGGGGCGGAGTGCTACTCAAAGACTGGACAACAGTCTCATCCATGCCACCCTACGAAGGAACAACCGAGAGGTTGCACTTAAGATGGCTCAGCTGACTGACAGCTCCCGTGCCCCTCTGCAGCCCCCGGCCAAGCCTAAGGGCGGCTCTGGTGGGGCAGTGGCTCAGCTCCCAGCAAGGCCTCCACCTGCCCTGTACACCTGCAGCCAGTGCAGTGGGGCAGGGCCCGGTCCACAGCCAGGTGCAGCCCCGGCCCACGCTATCAGCCCCTCCCCCCTGGCCTCCCAGTCCTCCTACAACCTTCTCAGTCCTCCTGACAACTCTCGTGATCGTACTGATTATGTCAACTCAGCCTTCACTGAGGACGAGGCCCTGTCTCAGCACTGTCAGCTCGAGAAGCCTCTGAGGCATCCCCCACTTCCTGAAGCTACTGTCACTATGAAGCGGCCTCCCCCTTACCAGTGGGACCCTGTGCTGGGTGAGGACGTTTGGGTTCCCCAGGAAAGGACAGCACAACCTGCAGTGCCCAACCCTTTAAAACTGTCCCCTCTGATGCTAGGGCAAAGCCAGCACCTGGATGTGGCTCGAGTGCCCTTTGTCTCTCCCAAGTCTCCGTCCAGCCCCACTGCCACCTTCCAGACAGGCTATGGGATGGGAATGCCATATCCAGGCAGCTATAACAACCCCTCTTTGCCTGGAGTGCAAGCTCCGTGCTCTCCTAAGGATGCCCTGTCCCCAGCACAGTTTGCACAGCAGGAGCCTGCTGTCGTACTTCAGCCAGCGTACCAGCCCAGCCTTTCCTATTGTACCTTGCCCCCCACATACCCAGGAAGCAGCACATGCTCCAGTTTACAGATGCCGCCTATCGCCTTGCACCCTTGGAGTTCCTACAGCACCTGCCCGCCCATGCAAAATCCCCAGGGCACTCTCCCCTCCAAGCCCCACTTAGTGGTGGAGAAGCCTCTTGTGTCCCCCCCACCTGCCGAGCTCCAAAGCCACTTGGGCACAGAGGTGATGGTAGAGACTGCAGACAATTTCCAAGAAGTCCTCTCTCTGACAGAAAGCCCTGTGCCCCAGAGAACAGAAAAATTTGGAAAGAAGAACCGGAAGCGCCTGGATAGCAGAGCAGAGGAAGGAAGTGTTCAGGCCATCACTGAGGGCAAAGTCAAAAAGGATGCTAGGACTCTGAGTGACTTTAATTCTCTCATCTCCAGCCCCCGCCTGGGGAGAGAGAAGAAGAAAGTGAAAAGTCAGAAAGACCAGCTAAAGTCAAAGAAGTTGAACAAGACAAACGAGTTCCAGGACAGCTCAGAAAGTGAGCCTGAGCTGTTCATCAGTGGGGATGAGCTGATGAACCAGAGCCAGAGCAGCAAGAAGGGGTGGAAAAGCAAAAGGAGCCTTCGGACAGCCAGCGAGCTGGAGGAATTCAAGTGCCGCAAAGCCAGTGAGAAGGAAGACGGGCGGCTGGGCAGCCAGGGCTTCGTGTATGTGATGGCCAACAAGCAGCCTCTGTGGAATGAAGCTACACAGGTGTACCAGCTGGACTTTGGAGGAAGAGTGACCCAGGAGTCTGCCAAGAACTTCCAGATCGAGTTGGAGGGGCGACAGGTAAGGAGACTGGGGTACTGTGGCCACTGAGCAAACAGTGCCAATGCCTTGGACTGTGGGAGCAAGCACTTAAAAGGCCTGGCAGAAAGCACAAAACAACACATATCTCTCTCAGATGGAGCTAGTTGGTCCAGGTTCTCATTCTCAGCATGCCTCCTGATGCCTTTGTATGTATGTTAAATCCAAGTGATGCTTAAACCGTTAGTCAGGTGGTTCCGTGAGATGAGAACGGAAAACTACAGGCCCCGCTCCTTTCCTCACCACCTGCTCTTCAGGTGCAGGTGCCTCCTAGATTTCAGGGTTTTCTGGTACCTGTCACTACATTTGCAAAGAGTATATATATATCTGCGTTCCTCAGGAGTTGGCAAACCTAGTTACCTCTTTCCTACTTTTTATGTTGATGCTTCCCACCACCTTTTCTCCTAAGACATGCAATTTGGACAGATGGGCTATAATATGCACATTACTCCTTCTCAGCTGTGTACTACCAGCTATGAAAGAAGGCTGTTTTCTTTACGCCTCCTCCCCTACCTCGTAAGTACCCATGAGAACTCCCCAATGTCCCCAGTTTAAGCAGTAGTTGCTCGTGACTGCGTTATGTCACTGAGTGTTTTAGTTAGGTTTTTTCTTTCTTTCTTTCTTTTTCTTTTTTTTCCAAGACAGGATTTCTCTGTTAGCCTTGGCTGACCTGGACCCCATCCGCCTGCCTCTGCCTTTCAGAGTGGTAGTATTACAGGTGTGCGCCACCGTGCCCGGCTTAATTAGGGTTTTATTGCCGTGAGGAGGCACCATGACCATGGCAACTCTTATAAAAGGAAAACATTTAATTGGTGTCGAGTTACAGTTATTTAATTGGTGTCGAGTTATAATGGAGCCCTAGTCCATTATCATCATGGCAGGAAACATGGCATCATCAAGGCAGACATAGTGCTGGAGAAGGAGCTGAGAGTTCTATATCTTTATCTACAGGAAGCAGAAAGAGACTGTGTGCCCCATTGGGTATTGCTTGATCATAAGAGACCTCAAAGCCTACCTCCATAGTGACGCACTTCTTCCAACAAACCCACCCCCCATCCCAGCAAGGCCACACCTCCTAATAGTGCAACTCTCTATGGGCTGAACATTCAAACACAGAAGTCTTGGGGGGGGCCATCACCATTCAAACCACCACGCTGAATGATTTACAGCTGTGCCTTGTGTGAGTTTTTCCTAAGTATTTTAATTGTGTGGTTATTGTTTCTTATTTCTCTGTGTGTTTATTACTAAGTCATCCTCCAGTTCTCTAACAGAAGGCAAAGTCTCCTCTTGGTACAGATCAGGAGCACATATGACTGACAAATCAGTGTTTCTTAGAGCATAATGGCCTCTGTAGCCCTGCTACCTCACTTCACTCTGAACTGCAGTAGGAGGTTCATCCACTTTACAATTTCAGTTTTACTTAAATAACTCATCAAATATATGTACTGCCTGCTGTGTGCCTGGCCATTTCTAAGACAAGAATCTCATGTTTTGAGGCCACAGGAAGTGGCAAAGTCACAAGGTGAGACATGCAAGGAGGAGCATGGTGGAAAGGGGTTGTGATATTCTAGAAAGGTCATTAGGGAAGCCTGTTCTGAGGCAGAGACCTTGGATAGCGTTGGTACATATCTGAAGTCTCTCAGCATATGGAGTCTTCTTGTTCTCCTCCCCAGAGAGCCCGCTTACCTATAGCACTCCATGTGAGCTCCTTGTCCCTCTTACATTATTACCCATCATCCTCTGTTCTGCTTCCTGTAAAACTGTAGTTAGATCTAGAAGCCCTGTCAGATTCAGTTACTTGGGCTTCGAGATCTCTCTCCTGGTGTATGCTCTCTGCTTTCCTGAGAGTTGGCTGTTGTCTCACTTTATTTCATGTGTTTTGCTTCCTGCATCCTTCCTAGGTGATGCAGTTTGGACGGATTGATGGTAACGCATACATCCTAGACTTCCAGTACCCCTTCTCAGCTGTGCAGGCTTTTGCTGTTGCCCTCGCCAATGTGACTCAGCGCCTCAAATGAAGAGACAGATGGAGGAGAAGACATGCCAAGAGCCTTTGGAGGCAGAACTAACGCTGCTACCACCCAGGAGGACCAGAGACACTGGCAGGAGAAGCCAGCACGCTGGGAGGGTGCTGGTCTTTAGGCTGGTCCTTTGTTCAGTTAGCTTTTATTGTCTCTTTTCTTGTTTTGATAGCTCCATATTTGGAACCAGGAATTTGAGGCATCTTGTGTTCTTGAAGGTAGGATAGCTTGGCTACAGAGTGTTTTTACTGAACTTACTTCTCATGACTAGGACAAGGGCCTGTGGAAAGAAGACAGATTGCCTTGAGTCTGCTCTTCTTTTAGACATAGAGTGTGTCAGTGTTCATTCTTCATGTCTGGCCTGTTACCTTTACAACATTATGTTGTTGTTGTTTTTTTAACATAACCCAAACTCTGGAAGATTCAGCTTATATTGTGGGGGGGAGGACAGTGTTTAATTCACACATATGTGCTGCTCAATACCTGGATGAATGTACCTGGATGAATGCAGGACATGTATGCAAATGCCTTGTGCTCTGCTGATGTAAGCCACAGTAAATGCTGTCACAGTATGAATGTGCTGTGGTAGGCTGTGGAGAGGAAGGGACTGCCATGGAGACAGGCTCACAGCACTCTGCAGGCACCTGGCTGAGCTGCTGGTGTGGCTTGTGCAAGAGCTGTTCTCACCCAAGGGTAGTAGTTGAGAACCCCGTTTCATGTGTCAGAATTGCATGGGGTCACTAGTGTGACCCATCTTCTTTCAGAGAAGGTAAGAGATTTCAGTGGGCCGATCCAGGCTGGGCCAGAGCTTGGCTTATATCACAGCCATTAGATACCCCCACTTCACAAAAACACAGCCTTTGTTCTCCTACTCCTTTGTTTTCATCTGGAGCATCTTATTGTAGTCATCTTTCTTATTAGACCTCATTGCTCTGTCTTTTCTACAGTGTGAATGCGACTACACGGTCCCTTCCCTTGGCCACATTAGAGTTCAGTTGAGTCAAAGGCTTTCCACCAACTCGAAGTGTAATAAAAATATTTGTGCATTGCCCAGAGTGTTACAAGATAAGGGTATGCTCAGATCTTTGGGGAAAACTCCACAGTATGCTCTAAGGGACAAGAACTGTCTTTGGGTTTGTGGACTGTACTAAAAAAGGCGCCACTGGGAAAGCCTTGTTGAGACTGTCACTGGCTGTCTGTACTTCATTCATTCTGCCTGTAGTATTTTTTCCCAGTTTCTTCAAATGGGAACATACCTTGGACAAATACCTAAACTTGATAGTAAGACACCGTTCTTGCTGTTGCTGTTACCTGTGATGTTTATTCTGAGAGCACAAGAACTGTCTACAGGCTTTGACTTCTAACTTTGGGTTTTATATGAAAGCTGACAAGTGGAAGATGCTACAGGAAATTCTTAAACATTGGTGTGTGTGTGTGTGTGTGTGTGTGTGTGTGTGTGTGTGTGTTTCTTGTGTTTTGTTTAAGAATTAGAAAAGAAACTGATTTCTTTAGCTGAGCAAAATTAATTTGCTCTTTATTCCTTTCCAAATTCCAAAGACATACTGACAAGAACATTGCCCAGCCGATACTGGAGTTTCCCATTTTATAATTTAAGATACAGGAGCTGATTCCTGGGTGGGTCAGTTGTCCCAGGAAGAGTTGAACAGTATATTAGGAATTACTGTGTTGGTTTACGCAAGTTTCTTGTAGCTTGAGAAGGTGTTTCAGTGCTTATCGCTAGTTGTGCAATACGATTGTAGCCTTTCTGTTTATGGAGTAATTGAAATGCAGTTGTCGTTGTTTTGCTGTCTAAGAGACAGTTATTTATCTTGCTCTTTATAGTATTCTTGGGAACTATTTTGTTACTATGTATGGTGATTTATGCCCATTTTATTATTTATTTAGAAAAATAGTACCTTTGTAATGACTTATTTGGTGGCAATATATTTTGCTGCAAAAAATAAAAAGAATATGACAGAAGGATTTTTTTGCTGGGATACTTTATAACTTTCTTGAGAGTTGGGAGAAAATCTTATTAATCCCTTAAAAAATGAGTTCACTCTTTATCTCACTATTGATCATATGCAAAATAGGCTATTTCTTTAAGATAGCATACCCTGAGGTAGTATTTCTCTTTCTTTTGAAAATTTTAGATAAAAGTAAAAAATGGTAGGACACAAGGAAGGTGAGACCTCTTCGATAAGAACAGCAAATAATCTTCAAATTTGGGTTTTTTGTTTTGTTTTGTTTTTTGTTAAAACTGGATTTTTGCAAAAACTTCAAAAGTCATACTTTACAACTTTGCTAACTAAGAACAGATGTAGCAGAAATCCTAAATGGTACTTTCTGTCCATGGGAATACAGACTTCCTGTCTTGAATAACGCTTGACCTGTGAGCTGCAGGAGCATGTGCCAGAAGCACGTGCCACCCCTCGGGTTTCCTGTGAGCAGGAGGCCGCCTGCTGCAGCAGTTGTCACAGTGTCATTTAAGGTAATGGCTTCTTGTAAAAATTGCCTCATCCAGTCAGCAGGACTTAATAAAACTCTCAAATTAAGGCTTTAAGTAACATAATTCTAGGTACTTCGTGATTATTAAAAGCAATTTGTGAATGTCCTGATGTCTCATTAGAATCCTAAATTAAAAACAGTCAACTACATAGGGGCTTTATAGGAAAACAGTATATTAAACATAAAAGCCAATGTTAGGTTTGTTTGGCTCTAACATCATCAAAACAAAGGTCATGTACACTACTCACTTGAATGTATATCCTGAGAAAAACTGGGATCAATAAAGCTAGAAATACTAAGATCTCTAATGGACATAGAAAGTAAAAGCTTTTGTATATGGGTACTCTTCATCCACAGCTCTGTGCTCTTGTGTAATGCCCTTTCTGTATTCAAAGGTCAGGGTCCCAAGGTTGAATTGCTTTGTCATGGGTGGGGCGTGACTTTGGGCAAGCCCCTGGGATTATCTGGCCTCTTTTGTCCATCTCTTAAATGAAAGGGACACCTAGGCAAGCTTGAAAACTCTGTTCTAGCTCCAGTACCTGAGAGCTCAGAATTCAGGAGCTCATCTTCCCCTTCACAGGGGTGAAAATTCATTTCAAAACATGGTCTTTTTGTAGAAGAAATAAGTTCTTTTCCTGAGTTTGTGAGCTGTCTCCTGTCTCCTGAGTGGAAACCAGCATATTACCGTGTCTTTAAAAGTTCTCCTAAATGTGTTTGCAATAATGTTTATTCTACTAAAATTATAGAAGCACCAAATCAAGTACAGTGTAGTCCCCCATGAGTGAGGTCTCCCCAGTGGACCCTTACGCAAAATAAGGCACTAAATGCACCTAAAACTGGGAGTGGGTTCAGAGAGAAAAGGAGTGGTCAAGGCTTGCCTCCTTTGGTGTGCTCATGTGTAAGCGCTACACTGTTTTTCAAATTCAAAAGGCTTTCTGTGGAAAGGGAACCCGTGTTGTCCTGTGTGCTGTGGACGGGTTGACAGCATTAGTTGGGTTGGAACTGTCATTTAATTCCTGGGAATTTATGGTAGCATACGGTTCAGAACTCTACACCTCTGTGTATCTCCTTATCCCTGGCTGATAAACTGGAGGATTGTGGCTTATTTTGTTTCCTTTTTTTTTTTTTTTTTTTTTTTTTTTGGCTTGTGCAGTTTTCTTGTGACATTAATTGTATCTATATTTTCTGTTTACAAGTTGATTTTAAGGGAAAAGGTAGGATTTTTAAGATCTTGTTTATTGTAGATAATTTTATTCTCGTGTTGTGGAAAAGCATGGGTTATATACATTTGAGTGAAAAAGGCACTGTATTATTTACCAAAGGTGTATTGTTTGCATTTGTTTACAAATGCATTATTTTAGTACTGTAAATTTGGGCATAATTTCCGAGTTTACTACTATGGCTACTGCTGGCATCTTTCTCCTTCCTTCTCATCTTTTTATTCCCATAAATGTGCAATGTGGGGTGCAAAGCTCACAGACCAAACAAGACCACCAGCATGTTCGTGTCCACACTTTGGGAACAGCGTACACTGTTTCGTGCACATCAGTCCCTCTGGTGTTGTTTTTTATTCTTTCTTTTGTTTTAATTCAGCATCTTGCTTTGTTGAACTTTCCAGACAAGGTCTGTTGAGAGTCACCATTGCATCTCAATGAGCTCTCTCTTATTTGCTTATCTTTGTATGTATTTTGTATTCTAGACTGTGCAGAAAGTATTCTAGAAGGGATTGATGCTTTGCATTCAAATGATGTAGTTTGTCCAAATTATTTTGCCTTTAAAATTGAGATGGGTTAATACCCATTTTTTTCTTGATGATTTGAAATTGTAAAATTTGTCCAGCTATTGCTTAATAAAATTTTGCAGATCAAAAAAGATAAACTACATGTGTGCCAAGTTTGAATTATGGGTCTTGGGTGCTTTGAGAAGAAATCACTGCCTTCTAGTGGCATGACCTTCTGACCTTCCAGTTACTTCAAGGGTCATGGCTAGGAACCTTGAAATGTCCCTGTCATTTTATTACCCACTTGGTGAATTGTTCTGACTTTGTTTTTTCTTCTTTCTGAAAAAGAATCCATTTAGTAATGCATGTATAATCTGGGATGACACTGTTTATCAGTTTGTGTGACCTGATTTTGTGCTGCTTATTAATTTTTTTCTAATAAATGCTTAGTTATATCATGGGTGGGGGGTGAATGCACCTGTGTAGTACCTAAAAGATCAGAGGTGCTAACTGTGCTGACACCTTAGTTTGTGGAGAATGTAACCAAAACCAGTTTTAAGCCATTTTGCTTAAAAAAAAAAAAAAGAAAGAAAGAAAAGAAAAGAAAAAGCACGCCAATGTAATGTTGACTGTTACTACTGAATGCTGGCAAGCCTCCTCTGTTTCCTGAGCCATGGGATGTGGGAAACTGGAACACTGGGAGCATATGTACAAGTGTCTGCAAGCAGAACAACTGTTGTGCTCACTCAGGCTTAAGGAGCCAGAACACAAACCTGTACCAACTCTAGCACAACCTAATTACGAATTGTTCTAAAATAATTATGGGATTATATGTCTGTGCTTTATATAATCAAAAGATGACCAACCGCCTTGTGTAAGGTCAACTATTATTTTATTATGAGTGCTGGTGAACATTGGGGAATACTGATGACAAATTCACTTAAACCAAGTAGCAAGGACAACTAGCCAGAATCAGGCCTGTCTTCATCATGTGTGTCATGGTTTCTGTCCCCGTGCCCTCCCCACCCTCACCCCCACCCCACACACAGCATTGCTAACAGCTAGGTCCTACCTCAGTCTGTGGGAAGGAGCTATGTCCAGGATTTCTACCACCACCACCACCACCACTTGTCATCTTGGGGACAATTCAGTCAAGTCAGGCTTTCGCAGAATGATTTGTTCTTTTCTAAGATTTATTTCTTTTACTTTATATGGAAGAGTACTTTGCTTGCATGTATGTGTGTACACCATGTGGGTGCCTAGTATGTCAGAAGCAGATGTTTGGTCCCCTGGAATTGGAGGTTACGGACAGATGTGCCCCACCCTGTGAATGCTGGGACTCAAATCTGTGTTCTCTGCAAGAGCAAAAGGTGCTGTTAACCACTGAGTCAACCCTTCAGTCCACACAGTTTATTTTTAACATCCTGGAAAGAAAACTTGGAAAATCTCTTTCTATAAACTCAGATTAGAATGGATGTGTTCTATTTATTAGTTTCAGTTATCTTTTCCCTGAAGGAATAAGGGCTAAATCTCAGTCTCTAGTCCTAAAAACTCAGTGTGGGAAAATGCCTGCCTCATGGAGATGGCAGTGCAGTTTCGCAAGGACGTAGAGATACGAACCAGAGCAAGATGCCCTAATTCCATTATTGAGGAGATGGCCTTCATCTCCCCCACCCCCTTCACCCTCTGTAGCCCTGGCTGTCCTGGAACTTGCTCTGTAGACCAGGCTGGCCTGAAACTCACAGAAATCCACCTGCCTCTGCCTCCCCAGTTCTGAGATTAAAGGCCTGCACCATCACCTCCCTTTTCATAAGGACAAAATTGGAACACTGAAGAGGGTGAAATGGTTTTTGGATTCTATAGACAGAGAAACAATCTTGAAACAGTCTAGGATTTCTGGGTCACAGCAGTGAGTAGACCTCTGTTATTTCTGGATTTTTTTTTACTCTCTTCTTTGTATTGTTTGAGACAAGGCCATATGGCCCAGCTGTCCTAGAACTAGCGAAGTAGATCAGGCTGGCCTCACTCAGAAAGACCCACTTGCCTCTGCCTCCCAGATGCTGGTATTGAAGGTGTGCATCATGCCAGGCTCCCAGCTTCCCACTCCTGTTTGTAAGCAGTCCCCTGTGAGGGATAACGATGGGCTGTCCTTGCCCTTTCCTAGGGAACTTACCCACTCCTGACATGTTCTCGTGTCAGTACTTTCAAATCTTGAGTTTTCAAAGTCTGAAAGCCTGTCTCAGCCAGGCATCACAAGGGCACAGCTTCCTGTGTATTAGTTTCTCTAAAGTTCTCAGAGATACTTGTGCCATGTACTGAAAACATGAATCTATTCATGTGCCAGGCAGCCTCAGCCCTGGGCTCCATTTAAGTTCCTGCCAGACTGATAGCCTCAAGTGAAGAAGGAGGTTCCATCATGGAGCAGAGCCCAGCAAGAACCAGTGCCAGGTGTGAACAGTGGTGCACGGCCCCTTCCGTTTTCTTCTCTGGGTTTCCTGCTCTCTGCTTCTCTTCGCAGGGAAGAGTGTTCCTGCACTGTGGAGGATGTGAAAGCCAGCACTCAGTTCTCAGGAGTGGGGTTGGGAATCTGCAGTGAAGAGTTAAGACTTTGAAACTGGAGATGAGGTAAGAGAGCTCTTGGGAAATTACAGACCCATATAAGTGAAATGACTATTTGTATTAATGAGAAATAAGTCTGACAGATTTATTCAACTCCAGCTTTTTTTCTCTTCATCGTGAGCGTTTGTGCCTTCTCCCACCTCAGCATTTTAGAAACTCCGGAGTCCTATTTGACCCTTAGCTCCTTTTCCTCTGCAGGTGCTTCCTGCAGCCAGTGCTTTTGCAGTCATTCATCAGATGCACAGCTCAGACTCCCTTGCTCCACTCCACCATACCATTAAGAGGTGGAGGAAGCCAGATAAATAAGGGCTTGATGCGTAGCAGTCCTCATCCGCTAATCCATGTGCCTTTTCTTGGCATGGCCGGCCAGCCCTACCCTGTGGCCGGTCTTTGCTACTTTGTGGGTCCTTCTTTTTCCCACCTTTTATTGTCCCAGTTTCACCCCCATCACTAGATTAGAGAGAAACAAGGAGAGAGGAAAGAGAAATCACTGAACCTGATTGATTTTTTTTTTTTTTTTTTCCTGTTTGAAGCATGACTACTAACAAACCACAACCAACCTCCCTAGATGACCAACAACTACCGACCTTACCTGTCTGGGCTCTGGCATGTTTGTACCTTCTGAAAGGTTTCTAAAATTCCAAACATCACACAATCGCAGAAATTATCTGCAGTTGGCAAAACCATGCCTCTGCCGGTGCACGAGGCAAATCATAGGCAGCTGCTACGGACAGTCCAAAGCAGTCCCATATCCCCACATCTGGGATTAAGACAAAAACATTTTCATAGTATTTCTGTGTATTTTTAAAGAAACCAAAAGTCTAGATTTGTCACTACGCTACCCATCTGGACCCTCTAGGTAGAGAGGGCCTAGTGTTTCTTCTCTTGACTTCCAGAACAGAAGACTGGGGCATCCTGATGCTGTTCCCATTCTTGAGTGGGCACTGAGGCTAGCACAGCTCTCTCAGTTTTTTCTCGAGCTCATCCTGATGGTCTTAGTGATTTCCCCTTTGACATGAAGCAGCTGAAGATGCTGCCTCAAGGATCTTCTATGAACCTCCTATCAAAATCTTGCACTTTGTTTCAGTAGTGGGTGTAATTCCTTTTCATGCGTCACCGAAACCTGAATCTGAGCAGTGTTTTGGTTGGCTTTTTCTTTTGCTTTGTCTTGTCTGTTTTTTTCTCTCCCCTAAGTGAACAAGCAGGCAGCCCAAACGCCAGAGTACATACCCCTCAGCTGTAGCTCCACTGTCAAGGATTGTCCCCAAGTGACATGTTCCTTTCTGTGTTTCTTCGGGATCCTGACTTCTGGTTTCCTACTTTCCTTAAGTTCCTGCTGCTGAATGTAGGAGGCTTGGAGTGTGGTTTCTTACCAAGTTTCGATGGTTCAACTCCTTTGTTTTCAAGCTGTGTGAAACCACTTCTCTGGTCCTCACTTATCCATTAGAACAGCCATCCCTGCTTGGGCCTTATCTCTAGTAGTTACAGGAAAGTCTCTGCAAGCCCAAGTGGTGTCTTTGATGACCACAGATCCAGCTGTATAGGCTGGGAAGGGAAGGTTGCTCTAAAAGCTGCAGGGTATCTGGCTTATTGAGCTTTTAGACTCTCTGGTCCTAGGAGTTAGCCTCAGCATCCTCCTGCCCATAAGGTTTCAAATGCTGCACCCAGAGGTGGGGGTCTCCCTTTGTTTACAGAGCTTCTCTCTAGTGAGATGAACTTAGAAACGTTTATTTTGGCTTTATTCACACCTCCCAGCAGGTGCTAAACTGCAAGGCACTAGGGAAGCTGGCAGGAAAGTGAGTGCAACAGTCTTTGTTGGGGAACTGAACTGCAGGTCTCCGCAGAGAGCTCCCAGGAAGAACTGGTGGGTCAATCTACACCAAAGAGCTTCTTGAGATTTAAGTCACACAGGCCTGCTCGGCTCCTGGTGAGGAATTTTGCCTGCCAGTCAGCGGCAGCAGTGACGGCCCAGATCCTCTGTGCTGTGACGGATCTCTGCAGCAGCTTTGTCCATCACAGCCGACTGGCTGCGCAAGCACCTAGGCGGAGACTCTGTGGGCCAGCAGCCGAGGCTGCAGCCGTGCTTACCCAGCCCTCCTCACTTCTTAATGTAATTTTTTTTCATGACGTTTCAGGGAAATTCAGATTGCCCTCTGATGATTCCGTACAGAGTCTGCTGAGGCATGCTAACCATAGATAAACAGGAGAAGAGGCATAGAGCATTCCTAATGAGCGCTGCAGCCACTCAATATGAAACTCAAAAGACAGGGAAAGTGGGTGTAGACCCAGCTCCTTGGGAGGCCGAGGCAGGAAGATTGATTGCGTCTAGGAACTAACATAGTAACGGGATGGTTTTAAATAAAGTAGCTCAAAGGAGGCGCTGAAAAGACGGTTGGTAATCAAAAATACTGCTCTTGCAGAAGACTTGGGTTTGGTTCCCAGTACCCACATGGCAGCTCACGTGGAGTCCCTAACTCCAGTTCCAGGGCATCTGACACATTCTTCTGGCCTCTCTGGCCACCAGGTGCTTG